TACAGAGATGCCATTCTTGCACCTAGCCAGCCAGCTCAAGTTACTCAGTAATCCCTGACATCCTCACTATCACTCATCCTTGAGTCACCCCTCTTTCTTCACAAGATAATAAATACTGGGAGAGGCCTAGGATTGAGGCCTTTGTCTGCATGTGCTCACAAGGACTGGACTTGGGACCCTTTGGCTGCCCTTAACTTGGAACATGTGTTGGTGTCTTTACTCTCACTATGGGTTGGATTGGTGGTGGTAGATTGGAATTAACTTGCTAGGATTCCAATAAAATCTCAATGGGATTACAAATATAACTGTTTGGATTGTGAGGAAAACTAGAAAGAGTATTACAATACTTGGATGACTGAACTCGATATTTGGCTTTACAATAAAGCAGGACCTAAGGAAATCAGTGATTGTATTTGGGGCATTAAAAAATCTGATGTAATAAAAGTAAATAGATTCTTCCAGCTGGTGATAAAACTGTTCACCCTTAGGAACATGCTACCTTGATAGAAGTGAAATCTAAATTTTAATACAGCCCTTAAGAATATGGAATACACTTCTGAGGGAGAAGTTCTGATTATTACTATAATCTATTGCTTTTTTAAATTACCTTTTTTTTGTACCAGGGATTAAACTCACAACCTTGTGCTCGTCAGGCAGGTGCTTATGCCACTGAGCTAAATCCCTGGCTCTAATGCATTTCACAGTGCAGTAAGTTTGGGCCCAATGAAACCCTCTGAAGCACTTGCAGCCATCAATTCTGCATCTCCTCATACTATAAAGAATTTTTCACTGTAGGAGGTGAAATTTTAAAATTTGTAATTGAAAGAGTTTTGGCCCAGACAGGACACTGTAGCCCGTAAAGCCCGTAAAGGGGCTCTATCTCCCCCACTCCTAGGAATCTACCTCTGGTGCCAAACTAGTGCCAATGGGCTACCTGTGCAGCCCTAATGCCCCCTCAGGCACCACCCCTAACCTAAGCTACATATAGGCCCCCACTCCACATGTTCCACAGAAGATCACCAATCCCAGAGTGGAGATGCCGCACCCCAGGGGATCGCGGGTGTCTCTCCCTGCATTCTCAAAATAAAGGTCATTTATATTTCATACTTCTTATCTTTTCAGCTGCTGCCGGTCCCCCATAGTTCTATCAGTAATAATAATGATTGTAATAGTGGAGAATTAGCTGGTCATAGTGGTGCATGCCTATAATCCCAGCACTTGGGAGGCTGAGGCAGGAGGATCATTGCAAGTTCAAGACCAGCCTGGGCTACAAAGTGAGCTCAGGAACAGCCTGAACTGCATAGCAAGACCCTGTCTCAAAAAAGAAAGAAGGGGAAAAAAGAAAAATAATAATAATAGTGGAGAATTAGAATCCTACGAGGAACACTTTGGTCCCATTCACTGTGTGAGATTTGGTCCTGAGGAGAACTATACCAGTGATTCTGAAGGTGGAATTCTGACTGTGGAAAACTGTGGTAGGAAAAACCTATAGCCTCTGGAAATGTGTGACTCCTGAAGAAGTTACTGGTAAATTGTCAAAACAAAGATCAACTTTCCAGAGAGAACAGAACAGTAACTAGAGGAAATTGTTTCAGGAAATTCAGACTCCATCTATTCAACTCCTGAAGTGAAAGTCTGAGCATCAAGCTTGTACCACAGATAGTGTAGAATTTACGAATTCATGGAGCAAGAAAAAAGAAAAAAAACAACTAAGTTACTTTCTGCTTAATGCCAAACACAGACATGAACAATATGGAATTTGCCTTAATCTTGGGCTGGAACAACTAACTTGGTGTTCGTCACATGTGAGTGAAAACTCACAGCACCAAGAAGAACAGGGGAAGCTGGGTTCTTCTTACTGTGACAGCCTATTGTCTTTTTAATGAATACATGTAAGCCAACATCTATTTCCTGTCATTAAGATTAAATTTCTTACAGTTTTTTTTTATTATGGAGAGGAAAAATATACTTGCTTATTTTTTTAACATTTGTCTTCAAACAGAATGTCTGTCTCTCTCTCTCTCTCTCTCTCTCTCTCTCTCTCTCTCTCCCTTTGTTGTTGTTGTAGAGAAGAGGAAATAGGCCACCTGTGGGCCGGGCCATAGGGAGGACAACCAGACACCAGCCTGTTCCCACATCTGGGCCAGGAGAGGAGAAAAGACAAGGTCCTCTCTCCCCACCCTATAAGCAACTGGCTGATCTGGAAAAACACAGGCTAAGATGATAGTTGTTGAAGTAAAATACAACTTAGTTCTTGTAGCTGTAGAAGAACCTGTGGGGGAAAGAAATGGGTCAGTCACTCTTTGTAGAAGACATTGACTTTGCAGACTACTGTCTGATTACCTATTTAGAAGACAACAATATGTAATGTAGCATCTATGGCAGATCTCCTTCTGCAGGTGACAGCTGTTGTTAACTCCTTATTATCTTGTTTTAAAGTCCTGTATCATTTTCATTGTTTTGTTTGGTTTGGTTTTATTCTGTTTTGTCTTGTTTGGTTTTATTATATCTGATGGCATGGGATGATATTTCAAAGATAACAAGATATATTATGGTAGCCATTTTGGATTTACTATTATCTTGTTTTGAAGTCCTGTATTGAATTCATTGTTTTGTTTTTATTGAATCTGGTCTGTTCTGTTTTATTCAATTTTACTATATTTGATGGTAGGGGCTATTTTGAAGACAACAAAAGGCATTATGGTAGCCACTGTTGATTTCCTATTATGTTGTTTTAAAATCCTGTGTCACACTGGCTTGTTTTGATTGGCTTTATTGTTTTATTTTGCTTGATTTTATTCTCTTCAAAATTAAAAAAAGAAATATATGACAAAGTAACTGGTTTTATTTCTTTCATTGTTGTAGTAGTTTGGGGTTTACAAGACAAACAATTACATACAGGATGCAATTTATAGTATTGTTTTATAGTAATCACCCAAAGAGTTAAGTACAAGAAGTACTTAAATATGTCCACACACTAAGATCCAAGGAATCCAGCTGAGGGCCTGAATCCACAGAAACATCCTGCATGAGTACAGATGAAGACTTAAAAGTCCATAAAAGACTTAAAAGTCATGAGTGACAGTGTCACTCATGAGTCCAGCTGAAGGCCTAGAGCCCATGACAATGACTCATGCCAGTCTGTTTCATGGATCTGCTCTGGAAAGGCCCAAAGATCAACAATGGAACCTAGAAAGTCTATGCCAGCAGAGTGAAGGATCTGTGCCAGTAGGCTGAGGGTTCTGCACTAAAACCAGGAAACAATTTTTAAAGTAAGAACCAAGGCTCCCCAACAGAGTACCGCAGCCATCCTCAGTGGCAACAAGGTCTCCAGCCCCTCCAACAATGGTAACAGCTGAGTTTATGTTAGGAAGCCAGTGTGACAAGCTTCTCCAAGAGACTGACAGCACATCATCTTTCCCTCTGGAGCCAGGAAGCAATACTCAAAGTAAGGAACAGAGATCCCTGAAAATGAACCGCAGCCATTCTCAGCAACAAGATCCCAAGCTCCTTTGATGATGAGAACAGCTGAGTTCCTATCAAGAAAGCTGGTGTGACAAACTTCTCCAGGGGATCAACAGCACACTATCTTCCCCTCCAGTTCTCCTTTTTATGCTGGCAACAATCCCCAGGTGGGCCCTCCACACCCCGAAGCATGCTGATACAGTTCAGCTGGGTGTTACAAGTTGACCACTTGTTATCAGTCCACCACAACTGTAAACTGCTTCTGTATACTGCTTCTAAATATTTACCAATCACTTAACATGCAGTGGGTTTTTAGGACACAATATAAAGATTCCTAAGCAGCTTCAGAACAGCATTGCCTGACCTTAACAGAATCCATGGTGAGGCTACTGCAGTTTGCAGTTACTCTAGAAAACACAGTTAACTGCTGGCCACTTCTCCCACCAGAAGACCCCTCAGACCACTGGACAAAGTAAAAAGCATGAAACAAAGGGAGCACTTTCACAGTGAGATACCCACACATCCACAGGGTTGGATCTACTTCTGAAGGAGTAAGTGCTTAGGGCTGACTTTATCTAGCTCTCAGCCTCCAACCATGGTCATGCCTTGGGGAGATAAATAGGGGGCTTTTCATCTACTCTAAATCCTTAAGGTTCCTCATGCTCCTGAGTTCTCAAAAGCCCTCATCCAAAGTATATGCTTGACAGCAACATGAATTAATCAGGGTATTTGAATGGAGAAGCTGTCATATGGGGGAGTCGGTCAGAAGCGCTGAGCTATGACATTCTGGCTGGCCCAATACACCTGGCTTGAGCACAGTGCCCTAGAAGAGGGTCTTGGGTTTTTCAGCTCCATGAGCTCCATTTGTAGAGTACACAAAACCCTACCAATGCTAGGCACTTGCCTCAACAAGAGCAGGCCTCAGGCCCTGGGCAGGAAAAGAGACAGGGACCCTTCATCGCATTGATGAATGTTTTTCTCTCCCACCACCTGCACTGCCAGTGGAATGGTACAGGCCTGAAGCCTATGTACAAAGAGAATGACTTGATGATTTGAGCCAGGCTATATGTCATTTCCATGTGCACTTGGGTAAGGTAATTAAGTTGTCGGTGCCTCAGTTTTCTCAATTATAAAAACATAATAAAAGCAGTACCTGTATCCTTAGGATTGATGTAAAATTAAATAAGCCCACCGGGCACTTGCACATGGTAAGCTTACAGGCGTGTTAGCTGTGATCTTAGGGCAGCTGTAGGAGAGCTGAATCCTAGGACAAAAAAATCCTCCTAACCATAGGATCATAAAACCTCCCTATCCCAGCCCTGGCATCAGTTGAAGAAGGAAGAGACACTGGGCTGTAGGAAGAGTAGATTGTGGTTTCCTGGAAGGCGAGGACTCCTTCCGGAGCACTAGCAGTGTCCAGCTACAGTTAGACTGGCTGTGCCCCACAGAGCGTGCGCAGGAAACATTTCTCAGAGGAGACAAATCTCAGACTTCCTTCTTCCCCACCCAAGGGCGAGGTGGGTAGGACTGTAGAAGAGCCCGTGGGGGGAAGAAACGGGTCAGTCACTCTTTGTAGAAGAAATAACCTGGTAAGGGAAATTTGTACCTTGACCTAGAGTGATCCTTCTACAGATCCTGTCCCCTCCCCCAGGCAAGAAAAGCCCAGCTCCAGAAGTCACTGCATCCCGTGTGGCTCACAACTCCCAGAAGTCTCTTGCAGCTGCCAGCCTGATGTCTCGAAAGTTGGGGTGAGTAGGAAGTAGCATGAAGGAACCCCACAGACAGAAGCCTTCCTTTGCAACTCCTGCCACAGCCAGGGCCCCAGTGACAGTGCCAGAAGTGAGACTGACAGAGGGTGGGAGTTACCTGCCCTGAGGGATCGGGCACAGTGTGGGGTACAGCTGGCTGGCTAGTGGACCAGACCCCTCCTTCAGGTTCAGCGGCGCCTCTGCCTCCCTGGTCCCCCCAGACGACTTGAAGAACCGCGAGTTGGTAGGTGAAGGCGGGTTCGGCACAGTGTTCCTGGCATGGCATAGGAAGTGGCACTGTGATGTGGCTGTCAAGATCGTGAATTCGTGAGTGTCCCTGCGGTCGCTGGCGGCTCTGGCCGAGGGGGTGGAGCCGCTGTGCTAACTCCCCGAACGAGGAAGGGAGAGATCTTTCGAAGAAGCTGCGCCCCCATGCACCTCTCTCTTTAGGGACCAGCTGTCCAGCGAGGCGAGAACTATGGCAAGTCTGGATAACTCGTACGTGTTGAGACTTCTAGGAGTGACGGAGAACCTACAGTGGGACGGCGTGTCCGGGCCAGCTCTGGTGACACAATTCATGGAGAACGGCTCCCTGTCAGGGCTGCTGCAGCAGAACTGCCCTCGGCCCTGGCCGCTCCTCTGCCGCCTACTGTGGGAAGTGGTGCTTGGGATGAGTTACCTGCACAGTCTGGAGCTAGTGCACAGGGACCTCAAGCCCTCCAATGTCTTGCTGGACTCAAACCTTCACGCCAAGGTCAGCCCATCCACACCTAGCCCACACCTCTAGCTCCACGCCCCACCCCCATCCCCACCCTGCACCCCCACCTCCTACTCCCACCCCCGACCCGTACCCCCCTTTGCTGCCACAGCGCCACCCACTGGCCACAGCTCCTGGGGCAGTGTTCCTCTGCCAAGGCCAATTTAGCCCAAGGACTCACACTCAGACCTATCCGGAAGGAAATGTTGAGTCACTCCATGACCCAGACCCACCCAAGGAGACCTACATCTCTGAGCCAGGCCCCTACTGATTCTACCTTTCCTCACTCCCATTATAAAACAAGCCTTGCACCTTCTGCAGGAAGGTAAGGGAGGATTCTAGATCTGGCCCATTTCATTCAATAGCTGCTCCTGTTCTTCCTTTGCAGTTGGCAGATTTTGGCCTCTCCGCGTTTACGGGACAGTCACAGTCAAGAACAGGGTATAAGTTCCAGAAGCCAGGGGGCACCCTGGCTTACTTGGCCCCAGAATTGTTAGCTGATATAAACAAGAAAGCCTCCAAGGCCAGTGATATCTACAGGTAAGGTGCCTGCCCCAAACACACATCCTAGATTTCTACACCTCTCTGGAGGCCCTTTTAGGAAATAGTATATGGGAAAGGAATCTTGCCAGTGGTTGGCCAAGTATCCACTTGTATCTCCTGCAGCTTCGGGATCCTCATGTGGGCATTGTTAGCAGGAAGAGAACCTGAGGGTAAGACTAAGCAGACTGTGGGGTCCTTAACCCCAAGTGGTCGCTACCTGAAAGCCGGTCAAGCCCTCCCTTTCCAGCTGAGCTATGCAGACTGCCTTCTGCACCTCCTCCTTGGTCAGGGGGACGGATACCCCTCATACTCTTGAGTGCCTTTTCTGTTACCCTCCCACCCAATCCCAGTGGCAGCACAGATATCACTGGTCCATGAAAGAATAGTTGAGAAGCAGATGCGACCCCCAGTGAGTGAGCTGCCCTTGTCCAGCCCTGAGACTCCAGGCTTGGAAGAACTGAAGAAGCTGATGCAGCGCAGTTGGAGCCATGAGCCCAGTGACAGGCCCCCCTTCTTCCCAGGTGAGCTGGTGGTTTCACTGGCAGCTAGAGGAGGCCTGGGTCTGAGAGCGGGGGCTATTCCCAAGAAAAGACTTTCTGCTCATCTGCAACCCAATCGGCTATCTCTCAGAATGCCAGGAAACAACTGAAAAAGCCTGTTTGGGGGTACTTGGCAACATGGATGCTGCTGTCTTGGAAGTGAGTGCCTAACTGCACCTCCCACCCAGGATCTGATGAGGAATGGCACACATGGCTACACTGGCCATCCAGTGACTCCCTGCTGAGCACTGCTGTGTGTGCCTTTACCTTTACCCTGGCCCTCCTCACCCCACCCCACCCCTGAGTTACCAGGTACATTGACTCTTCCAATTCATGCCCCATAAGCTCCTCCTGTCTCTGCAGGTGACAAAATTTCTGTCTGAGCACAGGAACAGCAATAGGAAGTTGTCTGCCCCAAATCTAAGCCAAGGAGGAAAGGAAATGGACAGGGAAACCACCGGAAACCAATCCTCGTGGACTGATTCCACATTGTCTGAGAGTCTGAACTACCTGACACTGAAGCAGCCCCCCACCCCAGTTCCTAAAAAATACACAGGTCTTACTGAGGAGAGTAGGGCACCGGGAGAGCAGGTTGAGAATGCCAGAAGAGCAATGGGCCAAACTCTCCAGGCTCCAGAGACCTCACCTTTCAGAAACCAGACAGCCAATCCCTTTTCCACTGCAACTCCAAGTCCTGGAGCCCAAGGCAATCAGGTGAGACACTGGCATCCTAAGCAATGATCTAGGACTCCTGTGAACTCTGTCCTGTTTCCAGAAAAAACTTGGGGCTGATGGAGTATTCACTAGGGGGACTAGGCTCCAGCACAGGAAGCCTGACAACTGTGTCACTTGTAGGGAACTATGGGACATGACACCAACTCGTTCTCCAGGGCTCCAGAGTCAATTTCACCAACAGGTACCCATTCCTCACTCCATTCCTTTCCCCTGCTGAATTTTCTACCACCTCCTTCTTTAATAACTATATATTGGCCCAGGGTATTTGGGAGTGGGGAGAAACACAATTTTCTCACTTCATAAATGAAGAGACTGACATCGACCGGGAGAGGATCTTATAGCAAAGCTTGGATTTGCCCTTGGGTGTTCTGACTATCCCCAGCACCAGATCTGTAAGCCCCCCCGGTTCTGTTGTTACTATGGCAATCTAAAGCATCTCCCAGCACAAAACCCCAAATATCAGTTGCTACTTTTCCTGAATTGTAAAACCAGCTGTGGAGAGGCAGCGTAAAGGGTGAGACACAGGACAAAGCACTGTCAGGCAAGTTCCCTTCTTGTATTTCCTCTTGATGAACACAAGGGGCCGCTGCCCCCTTCCCCAGTGGGCCTGCTAACCTCAACCCTCTCACCACCACCATTTTTTTTCTTAAAGGGCCGTTTATATACCATAGCAGCTACTTGCAAGTGGGAAGCTACAACCACATGACAGTACACTCAACAGCTACCTTTCCTGAGCAGCACTTGACAGCCTTTAGCCTGGGTAGGAGGGACCAGTATCCCCAGAAGTAGATTTGAAAAAAGGCCTGCCAGAATCTGAAGCCTGGAGTGGGCTGCACAGCCAGTATGAGGTGGACACTGAAGCACCTCCTAAGCTTCCCGCGGGGTTTGGAGAGCCAGCATCACCCCTGAAACCTTCAGCTTTCTTCAAGTTCAATCCTGCCTATGTCCCAGCTGACTTTGTGACCTGCCCCCCACCCCAGTCAATAAACATGTTTGAATGTTAGCAAAAGGCGAATGAGAGAGAGAGAGCCTGTGGCATGGGAGGGGCATAGGGTTAGGGGCTTCGGCTTAAGAATAGAGGCCAGGACCTAATGACCAAGGAGGAGGAGGCACTGCAGTTTGGCCAAGGCAGGAAAGGAAAGGGAGTGGGGAGGGCTGGGAATAGCTACGCTGATAGGGGCGGGAGATTTAGCTCGGCAGTGTAAATGTTCACCTGGCAAGCATGAAGTCATGAGTTCAATCCCTGGCACACACACACAAACACACACACACACACACACACACACACAAAACCACAAGGGAGAGCCCAGCAGGTGGCCGGAAGGAATCCCAGAGGCCTGGCTTCCTGGGTCCCGTTCCTCTGGAGCTCACTGCCAACTCCACCTTAGGCCTAGACTCAGGGGATAGAAATCAGGTCTCACAGCATCCTTTCCTTCTGAACCTAGGCCTCTGAAGCAGGTCCCTGGGAATGGGAGGGGTAGCTCTGTGGTAATTTACAGATGTCAGCCCTTCTCCTGTCCCACAGGAAGCCCCAGCTCTCCAGGGTCACCCTTATTGTCACATGCCTCCACCGCACAGGGTCACATACTCTCACCCTGCTTCTAGGGACTGGAGCCCTCTTCTCTTTTTCTGGTACTGGAGATTGAATCCAAGGCCTTAGTGAGCTACATCTCCAGCTCTTTGTTTTTATTTTGAGACCTTACTAAACTAAGATACCCAGGCTGGGCTCAATCCTGAGATCCTCCTGCCTCATCCTCCCAGAATTCTGGGATTACAATGGTGGGGCCTACGCTGCTACCTGCGTTCTGGCTGGGCATACGCCAGTCCTCCCTCAGTCTCCCCATACCTTAGCATTCTGCCCACATTTTGGTCTATTCCCTTAGGACCACCCTCAGTCTCTCCCACGGTCCACCACTCCCTCCCTTTGCTGGGACCAGGAGGAAAGGCAATGATGTGAAGATAAGGTGGGCGGTGAGGGGAGGCCAGGGGAGTTCTCCAGCACGGGAAGGGGCCGGGCTGTCTTGCTGGGGAAGTGGGAGGGGGCCTTGGCGCCGGGAGGGAAGCGCTGTCGCCCTGGGATCTGAGCCACTGGCATTACGGCGGGGAGCGCGACAGGGCACCCGCACTTCAGGCTGCGTCCTGAGCAGTGAGTTGGGGGAAAGGACGACCCGGGCCCCTTCGCGCTGGCCGTGAGTCCTGGCATCTTCACGGTGTGTCTGGGCTCGCGGGAGGCGGCAGGAAGGCTCAGGCGGCCATCGGGAGCGGCCGGCGAGGGTGCGGCCTTGGAGCAGGTGAGCTGGGAGGCGCGGTGGAGCCCCGGGCACTCGCCCCGCGCTCGGCCCGCCCGAGACCTGCGGCCCGGGCCGCGGAGACCATGGCCCGCCTCTTCAGCCCCCGGCCGCCCCCCAGCGAGGACCTCTTCTACGAGACCTACTACAGCCTGAGCCAGCAGTACCCGCTGCTGCTGCTGCTGCTCGCCGTCGTTCTCTGCGGGCTCCTGGCGCTGCTCGCTGTCGCCTGGGCCAGCGGCAGGGTGAGCGGGGGGGGGGGGGGGGGGTCTGGGTCGTTTTCGGGATTGGAGTTTGAGGGTTCTTCTTTCCCGTGTTTTCTTTTCTGGGAACCAGAGAAGCAGCCTACAACCCCGCTCTGAACTGTCGGGACCTGGACAGTCTCTGCCCTGCGGCCCTGCTCTCCGGGTCTGCACGGAGAGGTAGCTGGGTCCCCGGTACTTCCCATTGCCCTCCCGGCTCTAAGCGACCCCAGAAGTTTCTGTGGTCCACCGGTTCTAGAATACCAAATCCAACACCGGATTTTCCAATTTTCCAGAGAGGAAATTCTACTCAAGCCCCAGTAGGGATCCATTTCCTGCTTTTTTCTCCCTCTTTGGCAATGTGGGGCAGTTGTGCCCACTGACTTCCAGAAGGCCCCTTCATTTAAGCCCTCGGGGAGACCTCACATCAACCCATTTTCTGGCTATGAGGAGGAAGGTCTTCCATTCCATAACGGGAAATATTCTGCTCCTAGCTTTTTTTTTCACTGTTTGGAGGCAAGGTGTGAAAATCAAATGGGAGTGGCCATTCCTTGCTGCTCCACCCAAACTCCGGAAAGAGGTGGGGACAAAGGGCGGGAACAGTCTAGGGATTTGCCGGAGCCCTGGCAGGTGGCGGAAGCCCTGCTTTGGCCGCTCTGAAAGCGCGGGAGAGAAGCGCCCCCTGCCGTTCCAGAAGCCTCGCGCTAGACCTCCTTCCGCGGCTCCAAGTTTATCCTGAGCAATTGATCTTGATTTGATGACATTCGTTTCTTAGTGTCATCTTATGAGCTAAAGTCGTTCTCTTGCGTCCGAACGCCAGGCGAGTGCCACAATTCCAGTTCAACAGTTAAAAACTGAGACGCAGAGAGACCCTGGCTTTGCAGATAACCAATATGGGGTGGAAACTGTTCTCCTCAACTGTCCCAGGTTCCCCCGCAGCTGCAAACAAGATACTAGATTGAACCGTACGACACTGCCAACATTTTTGTTGGCAGCCTTTTTTCTCCCGGTGCTAAGAACTGAACCCAAGGTCTTGTCATTGAAGGTACATCCCTAGCCTCTGGAGGATCAAACTCAGGGTTGCTGGGATTACAGGTGTGCACCATTGTGCCCAGCTGGCAGTTTCTTCCTGTGCAGCTTAATATGAATGGAAAATAGAGGTGCTGTGCGTCCTTTTCGTATTTGGGTTCGAGACTCTTCAGAAATGTCCAGGGTGCTGTTACTCTTCCTCCAGTTGGTCTCTCCTCATTTTAAGTGAACTAAGCTTCCATTCAATTCACTCCAAGCATCCTTGCCCCACAGGAGCTGACGTCAGACCCAGGCTTCCTTACCACAGTGTTATGCGCCTTGGGTGGCTTCTCGCTGCTGCTGGGCCTAGCTTCCCGGGAGCAGCGACTGCAGCGCTGGACACGGTCACTGTCTGGCCTTGTGTGGGCTGCACTGCTGGCTCTAGGCCAGGGCTTCGTGTTTACTGGGGGCATCGTGAGTGCCTGGGACCAGGTAAAAAGGATGACAGGCAGACAGTGGGGGAGCCAGCACCCAGACCATGTGCTGTTGTGACATTGGCCTTCAGCTTCCTGTGCCCTGCTCCAGGTGTCCTTCTTCCTCTTCATCATCTTCACTGTGTATGCCATGCTGCCCTTGGGCATGTGGGAAGCTGCCGCTGCAGGCCTCACCTCCTCACTCTCACACTTACTGGTCCTCGGACTCTACCTTGGGCCACAGCCGGACTCCCAACCTGCGCTGCTGCCACAGGTAAGCATGCAAGTAGTACAGGCAGTGCCCTGGGCCAGCTCTGCTGCTGGTCCTCTGAGTGTTTACTGAGCTATGACTCTAAGGTTCAGTGCAACAGTAGCTGTGCTAGCTAGAGGCAGCCGCGCATTCGTGTGATCCCAACCCTCAGAAGGCTGAGGCAGGAGGATCACTGAGAGGTTGAGGCCAGCCTGGGCTACATAGTAACTATAAGGCCAGCCTGAACTATATAGTGAAACCCTGCCTCAAAAAAAAAAAAAAAAAAAAAAAAAAAAAAAAAGACAAAAAAACCGGTGGGTGTAGGATCCAAACACATGGAACCTGGATAATGCCCTCTTGCTGCTGGTACACCAGGGCAACGTCATGCCCACTGATACCAGAAGAGGTCTCGGGGCCCACAGGGAAAGAAATCACAGTTCACCAAGGGCAGAAGAATGCAGAGGCAGAAGCAGATAATGGAAACTTCAGAGAATGAAAATCAGGACTTCAGTAGTTTTGTACACCTACAACCGAGGCAGGGGATGAGGGTGGTAAAGTGGTATTCGAGGCAGAGGAAAGGTACATGCAAATTGTAAAGATTTCTAGACGGAAGATGCCATGTTGGCCCAACAGCCAAGAGTCTAGAGCAGAGAGCACTGGGAGGGGAGACACTCCAGGAGCCTCACAATGTGGCACCACTTGCCCTGAGATATTTGCCCTGAGATATCCCTACCTGTAGAACCAGCGCCAGCCCATTCTGGAAAAACAACTTTAACTACAGCCCTACGCACCTGACCTTCCCTGGTCCTGCTCCCCCTGAAGCTGGTTCTCACCCACAGTTGGCAGCCAATGCAGTGCTGTTCTTGTGTGGGAATGTGGTGGGGGCGTACCACAAGGCACTGATGGAGCGCGCACTGCGTGCCACCTTCCGGGAGGCACTCAGCTCCCTGCACTCTCGCCGGAGACTGGACACAGAGAAAAAGCACCAGGTCAGTTGCGCTTAGTAGGCATACTGGACCCATGCTCAGAGAGAATTGTTTACATTATGCATGGGCTCTTTCATAAGACCAGTAATTCTGAACAAGTTATTTTCCTTCTATGATGTTTCCTCCTTTGTATAAAATGTAGTTATTGCCCAACTTGGAAGATTGTTGCTAGGCACTTCAAGACATGTGTTGAATGAAGAATTCTAATTCAGGTGTTGGCCCTGAGTATTAAGTTCCTAAAGGTGATCAGGGTGGGACAGGGTGCTGGAAGAAGCAGGCTTGAGGGGAATGCACTGGGAAAAAGTAGTATGTGGGTTCCTGGGTGGTCTGGAGGGCTGAGTATGGGAGGGTTGGTGCTCATAGTTACTTTCTCCAGGAACACTTGCTCCTGTCCATCCTTCCTGCCTACCTGGCCCGAGAGATGAAAGCAGAGATCATGGCACGGCTACAAACTGGACAGGAGTCCCAGCCAGAGAACACCAATAACTTCCACAGCCTCTATGTGAAGAGGCACCAAGGAGTCAGGTATGAGGAAGGGTGACCAGGGAGGAGGGCTGGGGACTGAGACTCTGGCTGCATTAACAAGATCTGCCTTCTGCAGTGTGCTGTATGCTGACATCGTGGGCTTCACACGGCTGGCCAGCGAGTGCTCTCCAAAGGAGCTGGTGCTCATGCTCAATGAGCTCTTCGGAAAGTTTGACCAGATCGCCAAGGTCAGAGGGGGCCCTCCAGGGACCCTCAAACACCCCATCCTGGGGAGCCCATTCCGAGGGAAGCTCTTGTCTACCAAGACCCTAGTGGAAGTAGAAAATCCTCTCAAACATTCCCAGTCATGTCTGCTCACATGCTCTTCAAATGTGGAGAGACCTCTCAATATCTCCACCAATGTCCCCCAAATATCAGTGGATGTCTCCACTGATGTGCCCCTAAATATGCCCCACACAGGTGTCCAAGGACATTGTAACTAAAGTCTAGAAGTGCTCCATTCTGAGGGGGCTTTTCCAAGAGAAATTTCTGCCTTCTGCAAAAACAGCTCAGCACCTACTCAAACCCTAAGGGTCTAACCCATATTGGGATCCCTCTCCAAACCCCTCAGTCCTGAGACTACTTCCAGGTCTGTGTAACACACACACATGGCACAAATAGGAAGAGCCACAGACACCCCAGCCCCTGGGAATGCCTTATGAGAAAAATATCCACAGGGGACACCTCAGTCAGCCCCATGCAGAGTTCAGGGAATCCCTAGATCTGACCTAGATGCATCCAACCTTGGAAGTTCTTCAGGATTACCACTCTCGCTCCCCACTTTTCCCAACTCCCTCCTACCCCTCTGGCTTCTAACCAGGTTCCTCTACACACCCACACACACACTCCCAGGAGCACGAATGCATGCGGATCAAAATCCTGGGAGACTGCTACTACTGCGTCTCCGGGCTGCCACTATCATTGCCTGACCATGCCGTCAACTGCGTGCGCATGGGGCTGGACATGTGCCGTGCCATCAGGTCAGCCTCTGTGGGAACAGATAGATGGATGTGGGGGAAGACACCTTGAGAGGAGGAGGCGTGTCCTACGGACAAGGCTTAAAGCAAGACTCAAATTGTCCCCCACACACTGTGCTCAGGAAATTGCGTGCAGCCACTGGTGTGGATATCAACATGCGTGTGGGCGTGCACTCTGGCAGTGTGCTTTGTGGAGTCATCGGGCTGCAGAAGTGGCAGTATGACGTCTGGTCCCATGATGTCACACTGGCCAATCACATGGAGGCGAGCGGTGTACCAGGGTGAGATCTGGAGCCTCAGGCAGCCACCACAAGAACCAATAAGTCTTCCCATCTGCTATCATCCTTTTCATAGTTACTTAAAATTGTGTGGGGCCCAGGGAGGTTCTAGGGTACAGGGAGGGGATCTAGGAGGCATACCCTTAACACAGATCCTTTTTTAAATCACACCTCCAGAAGTGAGGGGTCTGGAGGATCTCAATGCTGACTCCTACTCGTCCTTCCAGGCGGGTGCACATCACAGGGGCTACCCTGACCCTGTTGGCAGGGGCCTATGCTGTGGAGGACGCAGCCATGGAACACCGAGACCCATACCTTCGGGAGCTAGGGGAGCCTACGTACCTGGTCATCGATCCTCGGGTAAAAGCCCAGCCTGGACCAGACAGACTGACCCTACAAACCACCCATATCTACAGGCCTAACCATTTCTGCTATGCTAGAGATTGGCAGGCGGAAGGCCTGGGTCCTAGTGGGCAGGGGGAAGGCCAAGCCTCTAAGGGATGGTGGGGGCGGGGGGAATGAAAGGTCTGCGATCTTTACTCTCAGACTTCATATGCCCCAGGCTGAGGAAGAGGATGAGAAGGGCACCGCAGGAGGGTTACTGTTCTCTCTGGAAGGCCACAAGATGCGCCCATCACTGCTGATGACCCGCTATCTGCAGTCTTGGGGTGCAGCTAAGCCTTTTGCCCACCTGAGCCACATAGACAATCCTGTGTCCACCTCCACTCCTCTCCCGGTATGTGTTCCTCTATTATGAGCCCTAACACTTAGACTAAGCCAGCTCTCACCATCCTTGTGCTCCACTCTCAGCTTCCTTCTCACCAGTGAGTCACATTTTTGTGACATCCCAAGGTCCTGAACTGTCTGGTCACCCCAGTCATTGGGTCAGCCTCCTCCTTGCCCTTCCTTCCGGGGAAAGAGCAAAGTTCACTGCTCTCTGCACTCACCTCAGAGAAGATACAGGATTCCCATAAACACCATTGTCCATTGCTCCTCAATCTCTCCTTTCCTGACACCCCAAAAGTAGTAGATTCCACTTCTTCATGGTTTTGATCCCAGCACCACATAGTTATCCCACCAGGAAATGTCTCTATTTAACTCAGTTCCTGCAACTGCACGCTTTCCCTCGACCTCTATTAGAATTAGGGAAGAGGGGCCTGGGGATTTAGCTCAGCGGCATAAGTGCCTGCCTTGAAAGCAGGCAGTCGTGAGTTCGATCCCCAGTACCGATAAAAAGGAAAAAGACCGGAAAAAAAAAAATTAGGGAAGAGGGAGAGAGGTGATTGTTCCCCCTACTCCTGAGTATTTATACATGGACTCAGTGTGGTGTGAGTGAAAATCAAACATGGCCTTGAAAACGGAAGTCACCACTAGCAGACCAGACAGAGGGGAGGCTATCCCTTGCCTGTGTGAATCTAGGGGCACTGATGACTGTCAGATCCTGTGCAAAGTGCCTTGACATTCACAGTGACCCACTAGCTAGTGGAGGACCCTAGATCTCTGCCACAAGCAGACTCTTTAAGTTGATGAGCAGCCAGAACTCCCTCCTGCAGGGACCCAGGTCATGTTCCTAAAGATGTGCACAGGATTAATGAGGTTCTGTCCCCTCCAATGGCCATCCCTCATCTTACCCAGCCTTCCTGAAATCTGTTCAGCAGTCCCAACCACCTTTCCACAAGTCTCCCAAAGTCTTTGTTAACTGGATAAACCACTGGGACTCTTGGGATGTCTCAGAGTACCCTTTCTGTGTTCAATCCTCCTCTGTTCCTATCTGGCAGGAAAGAAGGCCAGAGAGATCAGGGAACAGTGAGGTGACACTGGCAATAGCAGTGCAGGGGAAGATCCAACAGAGGTCAGGGGTTTAACCAGCAGGAGGGAGAGGAAGGAAGAATCCAAGGCCAGGCTGACAGTTGCAGGATGAGCCCTCCAGGGTGGGGTGGCAGTTGTTACAAGCCCAGGGACTTCATGAACTGTGAGGTGACCTTGGGAGCAATTCCTATGGTAGGATTGCCTACCAAAGCCCATGTCAGACTCCTGCTACTCTCCACTGGTGGGCAGACCACTGGCATATCAGGCAGTCAACCCTGATCAAAGGTATCTCCTGAAATAGGCCCTCAGTAGCCCAGGATTCTACTTTTAAGCCCCTGAAGTTCTAGAGGGTCAATCAAACTGGATCCTGAGACTCACCGTCAACCTACTGTTAAACGGTGTGGAATTTTGGAGTAGAGGAGCAATGTTTATATTGGCATGTACCATTCACCCATCCATTCCCTCCATTTAGGGGGGCTGCTAGGAATCAAACCAGAGTCTTCTGCGTGCTAGATAAGTGCTCTACTATTGAACTATATTCCCAGCACCCCGTCCCATTTTTTGAGCATCTATATTATGGCAAACACTAGACAACTTCTTGAGAAGGCAGAAATGAATAAAATGTTTTTTCCCTGCCTTCAGCTTAGGCATGGAGTAGGTGGTTTGAAAAAGACCTGGGTGTGGATGCATAGATGGGTCCATACTCAGAGCCCACCATTCCCCCTCAATATTTCCTCCTCCCATGCTCTAGGTTCTGGTTTGGGGATGATGTGACCTTGTGACCTACTTCCTGCACATGAACCAAAGGGAGCAGGGAGAAATGGCCAGCACACTTCTGGCCTATGGTCCACTGGACTTCACTGTTCCGCAGCAGTTGGTTTGCTGCTCATTTCTGCCTGGGCTCTGCATTCCTGCTGACTGAAGAAGAGAATCACTAATGAGATCGGTTTCCCTCCTTTGCCCTTCTCTATGTCTTATCTATTCCAATACCTCTCAGCTTAGCTTGGCTGACCTCAATAAAGGTCAGAGGGGAGTCAGAATAATCTGCATTGTCACTTCAATTTGTTTGTTTTGAGTACCGGAATCAAACTCAGGACCTCATGCTTGCCAGGCAGGCACTGTACTGCAGAGCTATATCCCCAGCCACCATTTCAATTTAAATCAAACTTTTGAGCAGTCAAGGGTGATGAGAAAGTCCTTGTCTTTGGAATTTGTGCAATCTTGAGAGTTTGGAGATTCTAGCAGGGGAGTATAGCTAATCCCATACCCTTGATGGAGGAAATGGTCTTCCATCAGTGAAGGTCACCCTCTTCAGCTAAGAGTACAGCTCCAGGAGGGGTTAACATGGAGCAATGAGGGAAGGAGACACCTGCCTAGGCAGCCATGTTAGCTAAATCAATGCTGGCAACCAGTAGGGTGACAGATGTCACAGGCAGGTCGTCCTCACATCCAGCTGTGCAACCTTTAGGGAAGATGAGACGCAGCATACAGAAGATAAAGGGATCCCAATGAAATGATGGAAGCAATGAGGAAATGAAAAGTCGAAAGACCCTGGGGATCTACTGTGATAAGAGGAAACCTCAAGAAGGAAATAGGGTTTGAATTTCCACTTGAAGAGCAGATGGGATTTGGTGGGGAAGAGAGAGAAGTCATCAGACAAAAGAAGTAGCCAGAGCAAATGCCCAAGGCCAAGGACATGTGCAGAGCATGTTGTAAGTGCAAGATTACCTCACTGTGAGGCCCCACTCACTGTCGCTTCTCCATGTGTTCTCCTGACAGGAGAAGGCCCTGGCTTCCTTCAGCCCCCAGTGGAGCCTGGACCGGTAAGAAGACAGAGAGCCACTCTTGACAGTGAGACCGATTGGGTCACCTGTCGCCGTCTTTCCTGGTGGAAGGTGGCTGCTCTGCTTGCCCAGATGCTTTTGAGGGTCCCCTTGATGACAGGCTTGGTTGTCACTGTGCAGGAGCTGGACCCCCCGGGGACTGGATGATGAGCTGGACACTGGGGATGCCAAGTTCTTCCAGGTCATCGAACAGCTCAACTCTCAGAAGTATGGAAAGCAAAGAGGTCTAGGAGGCCAGGAAGCCCTGAGGAGTCATGTTATGGGGGAGGGTTGGTGATCCCCCAAGGCCTGGGAGGGAAGTAAAGGGCTGTTCAGGAGGGAAGACCCACCTGGTCCCTCCTCCTGTCCTTTCCCTGGCCTCCTCCTGTGCTGGCCTGTCCCACCGCATCCTCTGTGGTGTTACCACCACCCACCTCTCACCAGACAGTGGAAGCAGTCGAAGGACTTCAACTTACTGACACTGTACTTCAGAGAGAAAGAAATGGAAAAACAGGTAGGCTGGACACAAAAGGACTTCCCAGCTTTAGTTCCTAAACCTTGGAAAGGGATCAGGCCTGCAATGTCCTTCTCCCCTGGTTTGCTCAATTTTTGACCTTAGGGCAAGAGCGTTGAGTCTCAGACAGGAAAGTCATCCATAGATTGAGTTAGTGGTGGCGAGAAGGACAAACTCCTTGGAGAACTGGTAGTGGCTACATGGAACTGTGAAGGGTCAGGTGGTGAGGAACCCAGCACTCCCCTCAGCTTGACACTTTTAGAACAATGGGCGGAGCACATGGCCCTTCTCTGCCTACCCCTTTGTTCCCTTCTAGTATCGGTTCTCGGCTCTCCCTGCCTTCAAATACTACACAGCCTGCGCCTTCTTAGTTTTTGTGTCCAACTTCATCATCCAAATGCTGGTAACGAACAGGTAAGGACACACCAGACAAAGAGGCCCTGGCTCTCCTCCACAGATCTCCCTTTGCCCTTCCTGACCCCTGACCACTCTGTCTTCCTTTGCCCACCCCCTTAGCTTCATGCACTTTCCCACAGAGGGAGCATGCTCTACTGAACCAAGCCTCAGCACAGCCTTAGTCTAGTATTATTGTGCATTGTCACATGCTTGTCTCTTTTGGTGTGATAACATCCCCATGAAGGAGCTTGTGTGCCCACTGAGAAGCCCAAACAGGCTAGAATAGGTCCTTATTCCCATCTCTCCTTTTAAGGTCTTTTTTCAAAACAGCTGAGTGAAAGAGCTTTTAGCCCAGAGAATGGTCTGATACAGATTTAGCCACTCTTGGGAGCTTCAATGCTGTGATTCCTGATCTACCCAAACACTTCTTGGAACCCTTCAACTTTCCAAAAACATCTTTGATCAGCTTGACCCCACTAGCAGCTACTCTGGATCCCCGGGACCACCTCCACCTGGCAGCTCACCCCAAGATGGCATTGTATCCTGTCAGCACACCCTGTACCAGCTTATTAAAACCTCCTTCTGTCACTCCACAGGCCCCCAGCTCTGGCCTTTACTTACAGCATCACCTTCCTCCTCTTCCTTCTCCTTCTCTTCATCTGCTTCTCAGAGCACCTGACGGTAAGGTGGGATGGAAGGTAGAAGTGGTGAGCTGGGGCTGACTATGACCTGGGCTGAAGAAGGCCTCTCAGTCCATGGCTAAGACACCCATGCTTTCTCCACAGTGGTGTATCCAGAAAGGTCCCAAGATGCTGCACTGGCTGCCTGCACTGTCTGGCTTAGTAGCCACACAGCCTGGACTGCGAGTAGCTCTGGGTACTGCCACCATCCTTCTCATCTTTACCATGGCCATTGCCAGCCTGGTAAGGGCAAAGGGGATCCTCTCCACCCTATCAGGGCACGCTGGACCTGTGAGGGACCAAGGGGATTCCTGAATCTGAGAGAACAGCTAGATTGAGGCTAAGGGAGGCTAAGATTGTCCTACAAAAAGAAAGAAAAAAATTACTCTCCCACAACTATCATCTGCGCAGACTCATTGTTAATAACGTGATCAATGTCCTTCCTGTCTCTTTCCTATGTAGGGAGACATTCCATACTTAGCTTCCTTGGCTGATTTTAACAGAATGTATAATCATTCCTAGACTTTTGTCCCTGAGGGGCCCCTGGAATCATCCCCAGCCAGAAGAGGAATCTAAGGTCCAGACAGTTTGAGTGACTGACAAGATCCAATATACTGATCCAGGGCAGACCGGTGCTCACTGCACCATCTCACAGTCCCTCTTCCCAGTGAGCACACAGGCTTAGGTTGCCTCACCAACCAGAAGTAGCACAATCCACCGCTTTGTAGGAGCCTGGCCCTGAATCATCCCTAGGTCAGTGGAAACCCAGCCGAAGCACCGGGGCATCAAGGAGCTGCCTGCTCCCTCAGCGTCTCATCTCCTTCTATAGTTCTTCTTACCAGCATCCGCAGACTGCCCTTTCCAGACCCCCAGTGTGTCCTCCGTGGGTTTCAACCTGTCCTGGGAGCTGCCTGGGTCACTGCCTCTCATCAGTGTCCCGGTAAGTACCCTTCGCAGCCGTGGATCTCCTTCCCCAGACCTGTCCTCAGTGCCCTCCCTCGAGTTGAAAAGCATTCCATCCTGTGCTGTGGGACAGACACTAACCACATCCAGCATGTGTTTGTGTGGACGATGTCCCCTGTCTCCAGACAAGTCCAGGGCTCCGGGAGGGACACGGTGGGAGCTCACAGGTGTCCTCCCACCTATGCCTGTGGGACAGGCTCCCTGCTGACCCCTCACTCCACCCCACAGTACTCCATGCACTGCTGTGTGCTGGGTTTCCTCTCCTGTTCCCTCTTTCTGCACATGAGCTTTGAACTGAAGCTGGCGCTGCTCCTGCTGTGGCTGACGGCTTCCTGCTCCATCTTCCTGTACTCCCATGCCTGGCTGTCAGACTGCCTCATCGCCCACCTCTACCTAAGTCCCTTGGACTCCAGGTATGTATGGCCACTGGCCAGAAGGGCAGAAGAGGAGAGGTGGGGAAGGCTACATGGGCACTATGGGCAGGGAAGAGGCCAGTGGGAGGGACAGAGCAAGGGACAACCCTGATCTGTGGCCTCTTCAGGCCAGGAGTCCTGAAAGAACCAAAGCTGATGGGAGCCATCTCCTTCTTCATCTTCTTCTTCACCCTCCTGGTCCTGGCTCGGCAGGTAGGACACGCAGCTCAGCCTTGCAGGGCCTCCCTGTGAATGGTGGAGCTGGAGCCCCTATTGGTGACTGGTCTCATGGCTCACCAGCATTGGATTCAAATGGCATGCCTACTAGAAGCTTCTTTTTTTTTTTTTTTTTTTTTTTTTTTTTTTTTTTTTGTACCAGGGATAGAATTCACGACCTCACGTTTGCCATGCAGACACTTACGTCACTGAGCTAAACCCCTGGCTCCCACTGAAAGCTTCTAAGCAAGCTTTCCCGCGCCCTTTCTTGTTCCTTCACTCCTCACTCCAGATATCTACTTCCTACTTCCAAGTCTGAGAAAACTGTGTTTAAATAAGACTCTGCTGCCAGATCTGTACACCAGACTTTGAGTCTAGTTTGCCACTTTCCAGCCCGTGAAGCCTTTTCTCCAAGCTGGGTGTGAAGGTGTTCAGACATTTGTGCAGTTGAGGTGCAAACACTCAAGAGCTGGGGCTTCCCAGCAGTCTCTCTCCATGGCCCTTCCAGAATGAATATTACTGCCGCCTGGACTTCCTGTGGAAGAAGAAACTGAGGCAGGAGCAGGAAGAGACAGAGACAATGGAGAACCTGACCCGGCTGCTCTTGGAGAATGTGCTTCCTGCACATGTGGCCCCACAGTTCATTGGCCAGAACCGGCGCAATGAGGTGACTCCTGATCCCTGAACCCTGAGCCCCAGGTGCCACCGGGACCACATTTGTATGAAAGTCTTGGCCCCTTAGCCCATCCTCTCTGAACTCCACAGTAGTGGGTCAGGCAGCCATCAAAATCCATGCTCCTGTCAGACGCTTCTATTTTCACAAGATTTGGGGCTTTGTCTTAGTGAGTATAGAATCTCTGCATTTCAAATTCTTACTTGGAAGGAGAGTTTTTTTCTCTAACTCATGATTATTCCATATCTTTCAGAAGCTTGGCACGTGTTGATAGTTTTTGGCAAGAGCATTCTGCCAACCAGGCATAATGGCACATGCCTGAAATCCCAGCACTTAGAAGGCTGATGCAGGGGAATTGTCTTGAGCTTGAGGCCAGCCTGGGGTACAGGGAGCATTCAAGGCCAGCCTGAAGTACATAGCATGACCCTGTCTCAAAAAAAACCAAAAACAAACAAAAAAGATACTGTCTACCTTTTTCTCTAGACATGCACTATCCAGTATGCTAACCATAATCATGTTTGGCCATTCAAAATTAAGTTTAAATTCATTAAAGTTTTAAAATTCACCTGGATGTGGTGGTGCATGTCTGTAATTTCAACATTCCAGAAGACTGAGGCCAAAGGGTTGTCTAAGAGACCAACCTAGACAACTTAGCAAATTTGTGAAACCCTCTCTCAAAATAAAATACGAAGAGGGCTGGGGATGTAGCTCAGTGTAAAGGCCGTGGGTCCAATCCCCAGTACTAGCTATATCTCAAGTGCACAGTCAAATGTGACTAGTGGCCACAATATCCAGCAGTACCTTTATATAAAATGCTTCCACCACTGCAGAAGTTTCTAGTGGATGCTGCTACTCTAGAGCCTCAAAAATCTGGCTATAGTGAGTCACCCATAAAATGTCACCCAGATACTTACACCATCATTTTTGTATCACCACTACCTAGCACTATTTGCCATGGAAATCCTTTTGTCTTATACTAGGAGATGTTAAAAGAAAGAGTTTAGGAACTTTTCACAGTCTTATGACCCTCTTTCCTATTCTCAGCTCTCAACTACTTCTTAGAAGTAGTTCTATTTCTAGTCTCAATTCCTATGGACACAGAGAATCTTATAGCTGATCCTATTTCTTTTTTTACATTGGCTGTTAGAAAAAGTTCATCCAGAATCCAGGACTAACACGGACTTTGTGGCACTCATCACGTGAATATGCTCAGATCTGACTCCATCTTTATCTTGTTATTCTTATTTTCTCTTTGACTCCCTATTGTTGCTTTATTTTATACTCCTCTCTTGACAAACTCACCCAATATGACACATTTCGGCAATGAGATAGAATTTTTAAAAATTCCCACTGGTATGGTCCCAACTTCAGGGATGAGTACCTTCATTTAGCCATTAGGTGATCCTGACCCAGATCTCTGTCCTTCTTAGAGTCACAAGGACACCAAATTTTAGACTTATGAATCACATCCCTGGGATGACCAGGCCCTCCCACTCTCCCTTCTTCCCAATCCTTGTTGAACAAAGAAACTAGGAAGGTGGACATAGGAAGAAGGCCTCTGAAACCTGGCACACATGACATATGCCCCCTCCCCTCTCTTCCTCCCCCAGGACCTCTACCACCAGTCCTATGAGTGTGTTTGCGTGCTCTTCGCCTCAGTCCCAGACTTTAAGGAGTTTTATTCTGAATCCAACATCAACCATGAAGGGCTAGAGTGTCTGCGGCTGCTTAATGAGATAATTGCTGATTTTGATGAGGTGACAGCTCCAAGGGTATCCAAGACCCTATATCTTGGACTGTAGAACTTCACACTGGTCCCTCTCTACATTGCCCTCCTGTCCATGAAGCCATTCCTATCCATCACCACCATCCCCAGCATTCCCTTTCCTCTGATGCCCAGCTCTATACTCTCCAACTCTCTCCTTCCTCCTGCCAACTTCAACCCTGAAGCTTTGTCCTTTAGCCTCCTAAGGCCTTGGGCTGAGCTTCTGGGTGAGGGAAAGGGAAGAAGTGAGAGAGATTAGAGACAAAGCCTCCTCTCTATACAGCTGCTTTCCAAGCCCAAGTTCAGTGGAGTAGAGAAGATCAAAACTATTGGCAGTACCTACATGGCAGCCACAGGTTTAAATGCCACCTCTGGACAAGATGCACAACAGGTACAACACCCTTACCATCCCTCCCCACAGTCTCATTAATGGGCACACAAGTAGGACATTCTTGTGCCCTCATTGGCCCATCCTGATGGGCACACCCATTACCAGGATGCTGAGCGAAGCTGCAGCCACCTTGGCACCATGGTGGAATTTGCAGTTGCCCTGGGGTCCAAGCTGGATGTTATCAGCAAGCACTCATTCAACAACTTCCGACTGCGTGTGGGTGAGTCCCCCGCTCCTCAAGGCAATGTGGTATCTCGTTTTCTCAGTTTCCCTACAAGTCCCTTGTAAGTTGCTCCCCAGCTTTTCTCTGCACCCCTTACAGACTTACTTATTTGGATGAGGCATGAAACTGCTGGGCCAAGAGCTAAGAGGCTCACTCCTTCCATTCCCTAAGCCACATTCCCCCACTCCAGGAACCCTTCTCCTTTAAGAACCCCTTAACTCTTTACCCCAGTTCACTTAACTTCCTCTCCTCCACTTCCTTTTCAAAGTTCCTCTTTTAAGGGCTTCTCCTCATCACATCATTTGTCAGGGTTGAACCATGGACCAGTGGTGGCTGGAGTGATTGGGGCTCAGAAGCCACAGTATGATATCTGGGGCAACACAGTGAACGTGGCCAGTCGCATGGAGAGCACAGGAGTCCTTGGCAAGATCCAGGTGAGGGAGTGACACTGGAGGAATGGAGAAGGTGAGAAGGATGGGGTCACCCCCATACATCCTTACAGACTTCCAATTGCAGGTAACTGAGGAAACAGCCCAGGCCCTGCAGTCCCTGGGCTATACATGCTACAGTCGAGGTGTCATCAAGGTCAAAGGCAAAGGACAGCTCTGCACCTACTTTCTGAATACAGACTTGGCACGAACTGGACCTCCCTCAGCCACTCTAGGCTGAGATCTCCACTCCTTCTAAGAACTTCTAGGATGTTTGTAGCTAACTGATATCAAAAGCGGGTGATGTAGCTGGGAATCACCACCTCCTTGGCTCTCAAAAGGATGGTTTCTTCTCAGGTTAAACTCTGTGTGTGTGTGTGTGTGTGTGTGTGTGTGTGTGTGTGTGTGTGTTGTGCAAACCAGAGTGTGTTGGAAGTGATTCTTTTCACTGGCTTAGAAGAAGACTGCCTGTGCCTCCTTGTCTACCTCCTAAGTTGATTCCAGTATGGTGCATACCATAGAATCATACAGAATTTTAGCCACATAACTCCAAACAACAATTTTTCCTTTCCTGTCACCTAGCCACAAATATGGGAAGAAATCTCCAGAAATGTCATTTGGCTTTTATTCATTCAAACACTAAATAACCACCTATTATGTGCTTGCTATGAATAATGAGTGAGTGGTCTGGGAAATAAACTATGATTCTACTGTTGTTCTCAGATTGGCGCAGTAGGCTTTCTAGTAAAGACTGGTAGACAGCTTGGGGGCTTTCTTGTCCTCAGGTCCATCAGATAGCCTTGTTCCTGCTCCTCTTGTGCGGATGGTGATATGGTTTATGGGTCTTAAAGCGCTGATCTTCATTCTCAGCTGCTCTTTGGGTCCATGGCAATATCTTATATGCTAGATTTGTTATAAATATTACAGAAGGACTTTTGGTTTTTGCTGTCCTAGTTTGTTTCTTTTTCTTTTTTATGGAAAAGATCTAAACAGTACTTCACTGCTGCTGCCATCTTCCTAAAATGTCAAAACAAAACTAGACCAAGGTTCTCTGAGACAAAACACGCCTAGGAATGAAGAGCTCATCCCTCCCATTTTTAGGAATCTTTGTTTCTGGGCATTACCCTGGCCACAAAGGACCCTCACTACCACCTGTGATAGAGTGTGTGGTAAGGGCTGACAGATGCTGATGTGCACAGTTCTGGAAGATAAGATCTGATGACTTGAGTCTTCTGTGAGACCTCTGTGGGAGATGGAGTGAAGGAAGGAAATCCCCGAGAGCAGTGGTGGCCAACCTACAGCACTTGTGCCGCAGAGGGCTGTTTGTATCACTGAAAGCTCTAAAAGTCATCATCACTGACCTAGGACATCTGCTGCTGAGACCATGAAAATTACAAGCAGAAAGCTGGAGTCATCTAACGGGAGGACAATTTACCAGTAGAGCTGTCTTCACAAAAGGTCTCCTGGATATGAGTCTGAAGTTAGAAGACCACATGCATGATCTGGGGATTAAACTCATAACCTCATGCTTGCTAGGCAGGCCCTTAAGCCACTGAACTAAATCCCTGGCCCAAGCCCACAGACTTTTTCTAAGTGTAATCTACAGTAATCACCTACCTATGAGTCACCTGGGTTGGGGGTGGGGATCTATGTCAACTTTTTTTTTTTTTCATCGGTACCGGGGATTGAACTCACGACTGCCTGCTTGCAAGGCAGGTGCTTATGCCGCTGAGCTAAATGCACAGCCCCATGTGTCAACTTTTATGAACCTTTAAAAATTGTACATCAGGGGCTGGGGATTTAGCTCAGCGGCATAAGTGCCTGCCTTGTAAGCAGGCAGTCGCAAGTTCAATCCCTGGTACCGATAAAAAGGAAAAAGACAAAAAAAAAAAAATTGTACATCATGACAAACTAAAGACCCATTCCTCTCAACTCCACCAGGGCAATGCCCCGTAAGACATACGCCCCACTCCGAATGGACTGATTTTACGCGTTGGTTTTAATTGAAAAGCTGCCTGAAATAACCAGGCCAAAAAACATATTTTCCCTCTCTCATTTTCTGTTTCTCTCTCTCCCTCTCCTTCTCTCCCCTCTCTGCTCTAATTTGCCCCACTTCTCCTCCTCCTCCTTCTTCATCCCATTCCTTCCCCATGCCCATCCCTCGGGTACAGAATTGAGTCAGGTCAAAAAGCGCTGGGCGTTCTGCGAGGAGGAAATTGACCTTGCACCAGGCCTAGTCTGATTCGCTTTGCTTGAGGCCGTCGAGGCTTCCACTGGCGCCAGGTTCCGGAGCCATGGGGATGCCCTTCACAGTCTGAGCCAGGGTGCCCCCGCGGCGAGTGCTGAATGCTTCGGAGCCCGTGGCCTCCAGCAGCTTGGCCACGAAGCCCACACCGGCCGAGCGCAGCAGGCCGCCGCCAGCGCACGCGTACAGCAGCGGGTTCACGCTGCTGCTCAGGAAAGCCAAAGCGATGCACACTTTGCGGGCGTTCCGCAGCTGCTGCTTCGACTGGTCTAGCGTCCCGGCCAGCACGCGGCTCCCCTCGACCAGGTCGACCACGTGGTAGGGCAGCCAGAAAGCCGCGAAGGCCAGGATGATGATCACCACCAGGCGGCCAGTGCGGCGCCTGCGGTGGAAACGCCGCACCCGCAGCCGCCGGCTGATGTCTGCGTAGCTGGCCACCACAATCAGGAAGGGCACCACAAATCCCGTAAAGGCCTCAAACAACAAATGAAAGGCCTTGTGCCTGTCGCTGGGGTACACTGCGAGGCACAGGTCCGTCTCGTTGGTCAACTTCACCACCTTTCGAAATGCGAGGACTGGCGTGGCCAGCAGGAAGGATGCCCCCCAGATGCCCACCAGCAGCCACCGGGCAGCCGTTTTGGTGCGCACCTTCTGGGACAGAAAGGGACTGGCCACCGCCAGTGAACGGTCCAGGCTCATGGCTGTGATGAGCAGGACGCTGGCATACATGCTGACCCCACAAATATAGTGGCACAGTCGGCAGCCAGCCAGCTTAAAACTCCAGGTGTGCCAGGTCAGGAAGTGTAGGAAAAAGGGAGCAGTGAGCAACACGGCCAAGTCGGCCAGGGCCAGGTTCAGCACCATCAAGGCAGTTACTGACCGCTTCCGCATCCTTTTCAGGATGCTCCACACCACAAAGGTGTTGCCAGGAAGCCCCACAACCATCGACACGGACAGTAGGATCATAGCCAACAGAGGTATGAAGGTGTTACTTCCAGAGGGGGAGGCTGCACGAGTTGTAGTGTTCCTGTCCATCACAAGGACCTGAAGGGTGAGGGTGGACACATGTATGAGGGTAGAAACCGAAGCCCAGGGCACAGCTAGTCTGATTACTTTGGTCTCTCTCCAAGATCAGAAGCATCAGAGGTCTCTCCAAAATGATCTTACCCCCCACTATGGCCAACTGACCTGTGTTAAGGCAGGCTGAGCCTGGCATGGTGGCACTGTCTGTAATGCCAGCACATGGTTGCCCCTGGGTGCTGTCGGTTAAGTTGGTTGGGGAGGTAGAGATACAGAGAGGATCACAGGTTAATGCCCAGCCCAGGTAACTAACTTAGTGAGGCCCTGCCTCAAAATAAGAAATAAAAAAGGGTTGGGGATGTTATTTAATGTGAAAACCCTGGTTCAATCCCCAGTAGGAGAGCCCGGGCAAAGGAGGATCTAATGGAGTGGAAAGACAGTTTCCTAACTGAGCCGTGGGGCTTCTTCCTACTCACAGACCTACTTGCAAAATACCCAGCAGCAACAAGCAGCATCAACGTTTCCGGCCCTTTCCAGCCTCCTCCCTTAGGTAAGGGCCCTCAAATCCAGAATTGAACTGGGAGACTTCCCTCACCAAAGTTACACCCTGTGAAAGGTTCGCTCCTCTGTCCCTGGCCTAGTCTTTAGTTAGCCCCTCAGGCCCACTGACTTCTTCCAACCACCTACCACTCTCCCCAAAGATACCAGAGTAGATCAGGAATAAAAGTGTTAGAAGAAATTACTGGGCAGGCAAATCCTCCCAACATCTTTTATAGTGGTCATGTTTTCTTTGGAGATTCCTTGGCATCTTCTTTCTTAGCTGCACCTGGTCCCTCCCCACCCCCATCACCCCTACTCCTGGGGTACTTACATACAAATTTTGCCCGACACCGTTTAGAAGCTGATGCCAATCCCAGGGTGAGGCCTAGGTTGTATAGCCGATCACTTGATCTGTCTCAGTGTCAGGGGGTTGACCTTGGATCTGGTTGCTATCAGCTATGTTGGGCAGAGAGGAAGTTCCACGGAGCAGGGGAGGGGGAAGTCTCATCTTCCTGAGGGTGGGGCTGAAATAAACCCCCACTCCTCCCTTCAGTAGGAGGTGGATAGTTTTTCTGTTCCAGGCAGCCAGGCCAAATGAGAAGAGCCCTGGAAGGGGCAATGAGAGGAAATCGGCGTGTGGAGAATGAGTTGGCGGGGGCGTGGTCTCAAGATACAGGTCTAGACTAGATAAATGAACAAAGTAATGAATTCTATCATAGGAGAAGCAGGGAAAGAAACTAGAGGGCATAAAATGAGAAGCTAGAATACTGGCATCCAAACTATTTTTTTCTTTGTATTTCACATAAAAATAGGTCTTTAGATTAAAAGGAAGTGTAAGTCGAAGCTGAAACTAGGTTCTGGACTTGGGTATACTGTAGATAACATCATGATTTAAAGAAAGCATGTCAGTAAACCAAAGGGGACAGCACCTTATTCTTGGCTTGAGTTCAAACCACGATCAGAGTTGTGGGGGAGGAGGGCATCTCCTTGTACCTCCCCTCCTCCCTTCTCTTAAAAGGACTGATTCTACTCTACAGCAACCAGTTCCCCATTCTCTTTGGTAGAAGCTAGCGTCTAAGTGGCTGTAGTATCACACAGAATACCAATGTCTTCCCTTTCTTCCATCCACTCACCCTGTACTGGCCCAAATGGTTACCCTGCTGAGTTTAGATTTAGGCACTGAGTGCTGGGCAAGGAAATCCCACAACAGCATTCCCACAACGTTAGGTGGTCCAGTTCTATCTTAAACAGGTGCAGAAAGTAGAGGCTGAGCCGAGCTAAAGGAAAAGTGAGGACACAGGGACAGTGATGCCTTGGCCAAGAACCAAGGAGCGTGGAAAGGAAAACAGCTGCCAGAGTGTCACTCCTCTCCCTGCTTGCATGGAAGGAGGTCTTCTTACAGTCTCCTGTGGAACCTAAGAAGTAAGAATCCCTTGCTTTAGTCTACCATAAGCCTTCCCGCTTCTCTTTCAACCTGGCCTCTTCACAGGGAAGATGCAGGGTGTCACGGTCCCTTATGCTCTCCAGCTTCCCCCACTTGCTGTGCATTGAGAAAAGCCAGAGCAGAGTTGACCCAGTAACCGTCAGGCAGAGGATATGATGAAAAGAAATGGGCTGAAACCACAGCAAGATCTGAAGGCTAGTGAGGAAGGACTTTCTGACCATACAGCGTGTGTAAGCTGTGTAATATGTGACAGAGGAAGCTAGTGAACCTTGGCCCAAACACCCTGGAAGAAACCTGTGTTTTCAGCTTGGAGCTCCAGGGTCAACCTGAAGCCCCTTCAAAACCTGGAAGGTTTCACTTCCTTTCTCAAGCTGCTCCCTACCTCAAGTCTCTAAAGGGCCTTTCCTTCCCGTCAAGGAAGAGCTATTCTAAGGAAATTCCTTGATGCCCTGGTTTAGAGCCCCTGAAACATTAGTTTCAGTGGCATCGGCATGTCCCTGAGCTCTAGATTTCCTTTGCTCTCACCTCTGCCTGGAGGTTATGAACAGTCAGTTAAACCGTCCCTAAAATAGAGCCTGGGGTGATGATCAGAGTAACCATCCAGGTGACCAACTAACTTAGATTAGTGGAGTACTGACAGGGATTTTCAGAGAAAGTTCTGAACTAACTGGGATGGGTTGGTTATTTGTGTGCCTGTGAACGCCCCTTGAAAAGATTCTCACAGTATACTCCCAAAATTTAAAATGTCAAGATCCAGAAGGTTTTAGAACTAGCAATGGAGAGATTCCAAAAGGTGGAGACTAAGAAGCATTGGAGAGGGGTTAGGAATAGTGAGCAATCTTGGGAGCTAGCAAGACTTAGCAGAGAGAAAAGAGAAAGGAGAATTACACCTCCCTGAGGAATTTTTCCTATTTTCCAAATATTGTGGCCATTCATTAGGCTCCCCTGATTCCCAGTCCCCAAACTTCCCCTGGCTAAGCAAGAGCTGGCTCCTAAGTACCTTTTTAAGTCTGCCTAGAGGTGGGGTAGGCAGGCAGTCAGGTAAGTCTCTATCAGGCCCCTGCACCACTGTGTACTCTTTGTGTGCCTCGCTCTACCTGTACCAACTACAAGACAGGCAGGAACATTTCCTTTCAAACCCCATTGATTCACTTTCCCTTTTCAGATCAGTTTTTTTTTTTTTTTCCCCATGCAGCTCTAACAAACCCCAAAGAATGGATCTCATCTTTATCTCTATCCAAATTGCCATACCTTTCCTTCCTTCCTCCCTTTATTTCCAGAGTGGTTCTATGGATAAGCCTAAGGGACCAGGTCATCCAGGCTGGAGAGGACAGGCCAGGATGCCACTGAAGTCTGGCTGCAGTGTCACTCCTTGGACTGGCCCAGCTGGGAAGCAGGTGACATCAGTACAACTCAAGCATGACGAACCACAAAAGGGAGATTACTTAAACTATCATCTAATGGCTTCCCAGTGTATTTCACAAGAGCTGCCAGAGACAGGTGAGCAATGCCAGCACATGGCCACATGCCAACCTTCAAGAAACCAATATTTTTAACATGGGTCATCCACTCTTGCAATCCCGCAGTTTGGAAGAACCTGGGTCTGTCTCAAGTGTGTAATAATCCTGCTCAGCCAACTACAAACTGTACTCAGAGAAGGGTCCCCAAATACTCCAGAGTGGTGAATTCCAGGGGCAGTAGAAATTTTTAGGGAAAAGCAGGCCCCGTGTAGGGTTTAGGGTCAAGGATCCCACTCTTGACTCCCCCTCTTCAGCCCGCCTCCGGGGTCTCCATTGCTTCCAACCTGCCCCACTACTTTCAACCGAGGGGTAATTCGGAGCTCCATGGTACCCTCCCTAGAGCGGCTGCCCCCTCGGGTTTCCCAGGAGCCCTCAAAAAGCCGCTTGAGGAAACCAGGACCAGCTCGAGGCAGCAGATCCCCAGCAGTGAACACGTAGAGCACAGGGTTGACGCTGGAGCTGAAGAAGGCCAACGCTGTGGTTCCAGCCCGCGCTGCCTGTCCAGCCCCACCCAGCCTCGCCAAGGCCCCTTCGGGCGGAGCGAGCGCCGCCATCGCTTGCAGAAGGTTTACTGCGTGGTACGGGGCCCAGAGCAAGCCAAAGGCCAGCACGATGGCGCTCACCAGCCGGCCCACTCGCCCGCACCGGCCGTGCCCTCCGGAGCCCCAACGGGCGCCCCACAGCCGCGCCAGAGTCACGCTGTAGCAGACCAGCGTCAGCCCAAAAGGAAGCACGAAGGCAGTCAGAGTCTCCAGGCTCAGGTGGGCGGCAGCATGGGCCGGTGACGGGTGGCACAGCTGGCACACGCGGTCACTCCAGAGGTGGCGGTAGACAGCGGCAGGGACAGCGAGCAGCAGGGCGGCGAGCCACACTGCCAACAACAGGTGGCGGGCCAGGGCCGGGCTGCGCAGCCGGGGCGCAAGGAAGGGGCGGGTGACAGCGAGGCAGCGCTGCAGGCTGAGCAGGCTGGTGAGCAGCACGCTGGCGTACATACTGAGCGCGCACACATAGTACACCGCCTTGCAGCCTGCCTGGCCCAGCGGCCAGGTCTGCCCGACCAGGAAGACCACGAAGATCGGCGTGAGCAGTAGCACCGCGCCGTCAGCCAGCGCCAGGTGCAGCACGAGCGTGGCCGCAAGCGGTCGTCCCCGTGCGGGCCGCCAGCCTGCCAGGCTCCACACTACGAAGCCGTTTCCGGGCAGTCCTAGCAACGCGGCCAGAAGCAGGAAGGCAGTGCCTGTGGCCCGTGAAGCCTTCCAGCTCAGCAGCGTCTCGTTCCCAGGGGGCCTGTAGCAGACCGTCATTCTTCATCTCCAACAGGGGGCTAGAAAGAGCCACAGAGGGTACTGAAGGGTGGGGCCAAGGCCATACACCAGCGATGCTGGATGAAAAGGGACTGGGCTTCTCCCCACATCTCCCTCCACCTCCCTGTAACCTGCCACCCTCTCTCTAGGAGCCTTGACTTATTTCAGGACTCTGAACCCCAATTCAAACATGACTCCTTAAAACCAGATCACCTGCTCCCGGTCAACTGACCTCCTACCCTCCTGGCACCTTCCCGGAGCCCAGTGGTAACCAGGCCCACAGCCTTCACACCAGGACCTTATGATGTCCACCTCCACCCGTCTAGCCTGGCCCCTTCTTCCTGAGCCAGCCCCAATCCTTATACCTCAGGACAAAAGTGGGCAGTGGGCTGTGAAGGGGTACAGGCAGATCTACTTACTCAGCTGGGTGCAGGCAGGGTTCTGTGTCTGCCAGAGACCTGGGAACACTGCAGGGTGGAGCAGCAGCCAATGAGGCCCGAGCTTCTGTGACTATTGTGGAGAGTGAGGAGAGAACGGGGAGGGGCAAGATGGGGCTCATCCTGGCCCTTTCCCAGAGCCCCTCCCTCACACAATTCCTTCCCATCACTGGCAGGCCCAGGCCTGTGGAAACTTGCTTCCTAGAAAACAGGATAAAGCTGAAGGGGTGCAGATAAAGTACCCTGGAGGCGCTGGTAGGAGCAACCTACTGAAGCCTGACCCTAGGCCCCACTTCAGCTCCTGTCACTCCTCCCTCTTGAACCCAGTCCTTCTGGTCCTCCTCCTGCAGCACTTGTGTTTTCTGGCCTCTCTGCTCAGTACTTGGCACGGAAGCTGACCCAAATTGTGCCTGCCTTGAGTCTCCTGGCCCTGCTGAGCCCTTTGCTTACTGAGTTCCGAGCCCACCTTTTCCCATGTTTTGATTTGGGCCCTACCCTCCACTCCTCCACTCTCCAGGCTCTCACTAGGTTGTCAGTCAGCTTGTAAAGCATGGTGTTTGGCCGTGGGGAAAACAGGGAGTGCAGAGTTACAAGAAGCTCTTGACCTTGTTGGGGAGTCATAACTCAACCAGGAGAAGGCCACATGATGAGGCTACATCAGGGTACAAGAAACAGGAAAAGGTACAATGGTAGAAACAGACTGAAAAGAAGCCTCTTTGCTTGGAGATATCAAAGCTTGGACATGAAGATACTTAAAAGAGACCCGGCAGGTAGAATGGCCTCTGTCAGCCAGGACTGAGACTTTATGAGAACACTAACACCAGCGCCACTGTCTTAGTTTGGATTCCTCTAAAGCAGATCCTGAAATAAAGGTATAAGTACTCCTGTGCTGGGGGAGGGGTCAGCTCAGGAAGAGGAGTGGGAGGACAGGGTATGATAGGGAAGAGGAAATCCAAGAAGAATGTCAGTATGTTCTGTGTGTAGATGTTGGAAACCTCTGAGAAGTACATAGAATACCCATTGTTCAAGGACTATCCCTGAGCACTGCTTCACCCTTTCAGTTTACAGAGTTTGAGTAAGCTGCCACAGCTTCCATCAAAGCAGCTTCCATATGGCTCCAACTCCTAACTGTTGTGATTCTAAGAGTGGAGGCAGAAAAACTCCCACAAGGGAGTGTCCCAAACATCCCAAGATGGAATCAGTTGGGATTCTGAAGAAAAAAGCTCTTTCCACAGAATTTCCATGCTTACAGCATGGGCAGCACTGTATCCTTGTCACACACAGGGAAAGGAAGATATGTTCTGTCTACTCCTTGCCAGAGTTTTTGCGAGGGTTTAAGAAATCTGGCTCAGAGCTGGGGCTAGTTTCTTTCATTGTTTTGGGCAACAACATAAACACCTTTATTAATGCCAGGTGTGTTCAAGGCGCCAACTGGGCTCAAGCCTGCATGTGAAATGTAGCTACCTGCACCACAGGGTAGACCAGGTATTCTGTGTTTCTTTTTCAGTAGAGCAAGCTAGAGAGGTGGAGGGGGTCTCTAATCCTCCTGGACAGAGATGCAGAGATGGTGCTCATCTGAGGCATGATTCTGGCTTCACCATTCCAACTGAAGTCAGAGATGGGATGCAGGCTACCAGAAACTAAAGTTCTGAGGCCATGAAAGGACACCTCCTGTCCCACTCATATCTCTTTCATGTTCATTTATTGGCAAAAGGGAAAAGGGTTACAGAAAAGGTGGCTACTCTGGCATCAATGAGCAGAAAGTTATAGTGAATGAAACCAGAGATGTTAGGGCTGGGGATTTAGCTCAGCGGCATAAGTGCCTGCTTTGCAAACAGGCAGTCGTGAGTTCGATCCCCGGTACCGATAAAAAGGAAAAATACACACACACACACAACCAGAGATGTTAAGCCAGACCCTCTCCAAATGAGGAGGAAACCGCAGGTAAGTGGGAGGCTGCAGTCCCAGGCAAACCCACACATCGGGATCTTCACTCCACTCCCAAACACATGGCCTCACGTCTCACCTTCTGGCCTTGCCCAGCCTGCCTCCTTGTTTCCCATACTAAGGCACTTTCCGCATGCTGGGCACAACCGGTCCTGAAAGCTGCAGTTCATAGTTTTTCCAATAGGTAGCAACAAGAACAGTGCGGATCCCACACAATGCAGCTTCTAGGAGATTGAAAGCCACAAACAGATCCTAAAAACTCCCTGGGAAAATGAAAACCAAAAGTTCCCTGCACAGAAATAAAAACACCAGAGGCCACATTCTAATCCTTTCACACCGCTCCTGTTTACTCTCATAATGGATGAACACCTCCACCCCCAGCTCTACCCGCAATCCCACGTTTATGTGGCCTTTGCTGGGAACCCTACCACCACTATCCAGGCAAGGCCCCTCCTCTTCCCCTCCCCTTGGACTTTGTCCTCCTTACTGACCAGGAAGGGGGGAACAGAGTCCGAGTTTGACTCATCTCCCACCTCACCAAGGCTGAGAGTCCAGCTTTGCAACAGAAAACACTTCAGGCCCAGCACAGAAGCCACGGAGAGGCAACTCTCCTATTGCTTCCCCCTACCATGGATTACCTCCCGGCCTTGAACCCCAAAGACCTACTCAGGTAACCTCGGGCCCTACCCTCTACCCTCCAACTCTGGGGATAGGGGAAGGCAGGGTGACAAACCTTTCCACCCCAAGGAGACTCATCTCCTGTCCTGCGCCTATATAAGTTAATCCAGCCCCAACCCCACTGCATGCTCTTCACCCAGTTGGCTAAGTCACAAACCTAGAATGCTGTCCCCTAAACCTTCCAGCCACTCCACCCACCATCCCCACTAAATTCCTTCTTTCCTTCCCAACTACCAGGTCAGTATCCAGCGTGAGCTCCGAGTTTGGCCGTAGGGTCTGGAGCTCAGCTCCACCTCAGCGACCTTTCCGCGTCTGTGATCACAAGCGAACAATCCGCAAAGGCCTGACAGCTGCCACCAGGCAAGAACTGCTAGATAAGGTAAATGAGCCAGGTTCCTGGGGTCCCACAGCAGGAACACCCAAGAGAGTCGAGAAGCAACACCTCAGAATGATGAACAGAAAGGATGCAGGTCACATAACTGCAGCTCCCTCTAAGGGCTAAGAGCAAGCGAGTTAACCCAATGATCTCTTCTGTTGGGGTCAATTCATTTATTTTCCAAGTATTGTTACACTTTGGTATCAATGCTTTGTAACTTATCAGACTTGCTATTCAGTGCACTTTCACATAAAAATTCTGTCCCAGTACTCATTGTGTGGTACGCAATGCACATGCTTTCATGTTGATTGCCTCATGCCTGGGTACCTTTACCAGCCAAAATACTTGCTTGGTACATGTCATTTTTGGTACCTCATTGTATATCCCAGAACCAATTAAGAAGCACCCATACACACCATGGGCTTTTCTTGGTTTTGGGGGTCTTTTTCTTTTTAATGTAGGTTCCACCATGAAGTTCAGGCTGGCCTTGAACTCAGGGCGATCCTCCTGCCTCAGCCTCCTGAGTGCTAAAATTACAGGTGTATACTACCACAGCCAGCTCTCATGGACTTTTCTTTGGGAGTAGAAGGAAAGAGAGGTCTACCTCTAGGAATAGAATATGAAAAACCAAATTCAAATCCTGATTTTGCTACATCTGAAATGAGTAAAAGACAGGTACGTAAAATCCTCATAGACAGCACTTAGTGAGTGTACGAGACATTAAATGGCACCAAATGGAGAACACTGTGGGTGGAGGAAGTGAAGTAGAACATCGTAGACAAGACAAAAGTAAGGATTTCAAAATAACTTGGTCAGACTTTTTTTTTTAAAACTTGAATCTTGGTCATGTCATATAGTCTGGTCTCAAACTCCTGAATTCAAGTGACCTTCTTGCCTCAGCTTTTTAAGGACTACAGACAAGCACCATCACGCCCAACTCCTGGCTAAATTTTTAAAATTCCACACCAGGAGAAGTGGCTTATAGGACAGCAGAGAAAGGTGACAATGACATGGTAGGAGAGGTTGGAGGTGTAGACCAATGGCAGTGGCTACCTACCACATACAAGGCTCTGAAATCAATCCTCAGCACTCTCTCACACACACACAAATGGTCACACCTAGTAACCGCTCCCCAACGACTAGACATTGAGAGATGACACCTTAAGGGATGGCAAAGCACTAGGATGTGGAGCTGGTGTACCAACCAGGACTAGAGCTGACCAATGGATGTCGGGCAGCTAAGGAGGGGAGGGCAATGGTATGAGATCTGTCTCTCCCCTATGCTTCTTGCCACGGGGCAGGCACTAGAGACCCTGATGCTGGGTGGAGTGCTAACACTGGTACTAGAAGAGGATGGGACTGCTGTGGAGAGTGAGGACTTCTTCCAACTGCTAGAGGACGACACATGCCTGATGGTGCTGGAGACTGGGCAGAGCTGGACCAGTAGGGTAAGAGACCCACACTGGAGCTGTTTAGGCCATCAATGCTCCACAGCTCACCCTAGTTTCTACCTGGCCCAACCCTGATCTTGGGGCAGAGGCACTGGGAGGGCTATGGAGCTGTCAAGGACATCACACAGTGGACCCAGTCTAGAAAAGTGGGCCTGACCCAGTGCTGATGGGGGACAGTGGTGGGTGGCAGGGTATGATGGGTCCACTGCACTGATGTGGGTGCCTTACAGAGTGGGATGCTGTCATATGGCCTGGGCCGAGAGAAACCAAAGCACAGTAAGGACATTGCCCGCATAACCTTTGATGTATATAAGCAAAATCCTCGAGACCTCTTCGGCAGCCTAAACATCAAAGCAACATTCTACGGGCTCTACTCTATGAGCTGTGACTTCCAAGGAGTGGGTCCAAAAAAAGTACTCAGGTCAGAGATCAATGTTTCATATAATCCCTTCCTTATAAATGTGTAGTTCCTATAATTTTATTTCCTACTCCCGTTAATCCCCACTGAGCTCCCCTTGTGAAAAACACCAGCTCTCAGGGGCCTCTTGGTTTCCTCTCATCATCTGATTTCCTGTCTCTGGATTTCAGGGAGCTCCTCCATTGGCTCTCCAAGTTGCTGCAAGGCCTTGGGCATATTCTGCTGGGAATTTCCTCTACCCTTCGCCATGTAGTCGAGGGGGGCGAGCACTGGCAGCATCAGGGTCGCCTCCATCCCTACTGAAAAGAGAGTCTGAGCTTTTGTCCGACTTGTTCTATGAGACACGCTGTGAGGACTGTGACAGCATCCCGTTTCAGGACCTGCAGGCAGTGCAGACTAACCAACACCTGATTTCCCCCACAACCTCTGACCTCACTGCAATGGAATCCATCAGCATAAGGCATTACTCCCCCAACCGAACTCTCTACTAAACATCCTATCCTGCCCTCATCTGCAGCCCCCCACCTACCCTGAAAGGCCACAACCTGTTCCCAAGCATCAAGAAGCCACCCTGCATCCTTACCAACTCCCTATCCCTAAGCTCCCCATCACATTGATGACAGCCCTGTCTGACTTTATCTTGAGACCTCAATTTCCTCATATGTTTTACCTAAAAATAAAATCCCAATAAAAATATAAGAATGTTTTATCAAGACTTTTTTTTTTTTTTTTTTTTTTTGGTCTTTTTCGTTTTCATTGGTACCAGGGATCGAACTCACGACTGCCTGCTTGCAAGGCAGGCACTTATGCCGCTGAGCTAAATCCCCAGCCCCTTATCAAGACTTTTAAACCAGGAAAGGGACAGGGCAGATGGTCGCATTTCCCTCCCTATCAGCATCTAGTCTAAGATCCCAAGGCCTTAGTCTTCAAGTATTGAATTCAATGCCCGCCTCCGCTTGGCCACGGCATTCTGCTGCTGTTCCCAAGCTTCTCGTCGCTTCAGGAAGGTAGTGAGGGCCACATTTCGAGCCACATGGTGGCCAAAAGGGTCTCTAATCAGCTCCTGGTTCTGCTCCCCTGCAAAGGAAACCATTCATGATTAGTGCCACTTTCACTTGGAGACAGACTGTACTTAGAATGAAGATCCCTCCATTCTTCTCAACACTGGGCCTATCCCTATGATAAACACCTTACTCTCCAAAGAAGAAAAGCCAGGAGGAAGGGTAGGAACTGAGACCATAAGATCAGTCAGCAGAGGTCAAGGCAAGAGCAGACTGCTGAGGACCAGTAACCAAGACCACCACTGGGAACTGAAGCCTCTGTTGAACTTAAGTCCACTGCCCAGGAGGCCAGCTATCTGGCTAAGAGAAGGGCATTTTGAAGTTTGGAAACATCAGAGACACAATGGTACTCACCTAGCTCTGCAGCGATTTCCTTCCGAGCCCCCAGTGCTGCTCCATTCCAGATGGCATCTAGAACACGGCTACCATGGCGACTACAGGCCAAAGCCACATACTGTCCCTGCATTGAGACAAACAAGCTAAGTCCTTCTAGGAAAGCATATGAAAGTGTTTTGACAGGAAGGGGAAACAAAGTTTCAAAAGAGTTTAGAGACTGAGTCAAACCATCTGGGAAGTGCATTTCCCATCTCAACTCTAAGGTATAGTCCTGAGGAAGCTCATTTTCTCTAAAGGGATAACCGAGGAAAATCAAGGACTCTAGAAGCCAGAACTCTAACCTTTAGGGTCTGCAGCACGCGGCGGCGTGGTTTCCGTGTCACAGAGGGACTGGTCAGGATGGCATCCACTACATGAGAACCAGCAGGACTTTGGGCCAGAGACAGAAGTTGTGGTCCTGTCAAGGAACCCAGACTTCGAAGTACAAGACCAGGGGTAGAGAAGTGCAGCAGATGCTGAAGCAATAGGGAACCAAGTACTGTCACTTCACCTAGGGCCCGGGTCATGGCTATTTCTACCTGGAAGCAAGGAGACAGGAAATTATGGGGCAGTGACCAAGCCAGGTGGGTGAGCTCATCCTCACGGCAATGCCACCTTCACTTGGATAACGTCAGAAATCTTGTCACCTCACTTAAGGGATTCCCTAAGCCCAGGGAGGCCTGGCCCCAGTGAGACACCAGCTCAGCCTCTCCTTTAACTCACCTGGTGCTCTGTAGGCACTGCCCCTTCCTCCTCGGTAAGTCCATAGTATACCTCATAAGCCATCAAAGTGGCAAAGAGAGGCACACAAGCCACCTGCCGGGAAGAGGGCTTTGCACAGTGGAATGCCTAGAAGACAAAAAAAACATAATGATTCGGAGAACTACCTATTCCTAATCTCCACTTTATAAACAGAAAAAAATATTCAGGAAAGGTAAGAAAGCTTGATTCCACAAGAAAGTAAGCTTTAAGAGAGCTGGTTCTTATCTGCTATATCCCAGCCTGTATACATGTAACAGGGATCAAGCTTATCCCTTAAATAAACTTCTCTCAGCTATGGGAAACAATTTTCACTCTATAGCTGAGATGGCTCTTGCATAAAATTTTTCCCTGATCTGTGAATTCCCTTGGCATTAGACCTCTTGCATCCAGTGGTACAATGACTAAAATTAGATACATTCTAAAGCAGAATTTAGACTGCAGGACAAGCCAATTGTAAGTAACAATTACTCACCTCCAACAACAGCTGTAAGATCTGGGTTTGGTGAGCCCCAACTCTGCGGCAGGCGCCCACGAGGGCAACAACTACTCCTGTGTGGCCCTGGGCTAGGATAGCTTCCAGGGCAGGACTCAGCTCCTCAAACACAGGGGACAGCTAAGGAGAAACATTGGATGCAGAATCTTTGGAATTATGGTAATAATGAACTAAATATTTCAGAGAAATCTTCCTGCTGAAGACAACTAAAAGTACTAGCTAAAATATAATAAAAAGGTCTGCCAATGTCAAGACTTTGGATTGACTAAATAAGCTCAAGACACAGGGGCAGAGAGGTGCCACCTCACATATACAGGGAGCGTTAAGCAACCCCTTCCTAAGTGTAAGGGAGAGCTAGAAATAACTTGCCCTTCCATTCCAGCTCCCAACCCATAAGCCCAATGGGAAGCCCATCCTGGTGCTAAGCAGCAAAGGAAAGGAGAAGCAATACCAATAGCCTAGTGTCATGCAGATTTGTAACTAAGAATCCAGAGTATTGGGTAGTCATGAAACTTAAGTTGCCAACGTGATTTAAGACAGTCTCCTGCTGGTACCTGTACCTCAGAAGCTAAAACAAACTCCCTCTGGGAGGAGGGGATCTCCATCCTAAACTCACGAAAACCCTGAATAATAACTTTACAAAAGCAATGGGTACTGGGCACTGTCAGAGATATACACAGGCAGACACACAATAAAATAACACCCAAAAAATGGCAGCAGGAAAAAACTAACCTAGGATTCCAACTCACCAGCTCAGGAGTAGTAATTGCATCCAATAAGCGCTGCAAAGGGAAGTTAGCAATGGGATGTGCAGCCAAGATCTGCAGCTGACCCTGCAAATGATCCTCAAAGAGGCTCTGGAGCTTTGGGGGCTCCAACACCAGCAGCACCTGCTCCAGGAGTCTGGAGCTTGTCTGATCCCTCAGAAATAGCAGCAAGGGGCTGAGGACAAGGAAAAGAGGATCAGGCAACTGTAACTCTACTTCTTCCAAAATGCAACTGTACCACATCATCTTGCTCATTTCACACAGCCCCACCAACTCTGGCTGATTCCAAGGCCCTGACCATACCTGCCATCTGCTGAGGCATTACGAGTACTCAGGTAGCCAATTGTAGTATTGCAGAGATGGGCACAAACGTGGGGCAGTTTGCGGTGTAAGATCTGTAAAGCCACTTGAAAGCAGAAGCTAGAAATCTTGTCAGTGATAAACACTGTGAGAAGAGAGCAGAAATAATTATTTTGTCTAAAACTCTAAACCCAAACAACCTTTAAAAACTTTGAGCAACAAGATACAAGGGACTACAGACACAAAGCATCCATGCAAAATACTTTGCAGTATCAAGCCAGACCAGATTCTAACACAGGAGGAATGATCTGACCTAAGGACTTTGATGGGTAGTAATCAGCTCTAAAAAGGTGGATACCAGAGCCTCTTCCAAATTCCCTCCTTACCAGCAATGTCCTTCAGAAAGCAGGAACTCAGGTCCTGAAGGCAATTCAGGAAGGTTTCGGGGACCTCAAAATCAGTTTGCTTATGTTCCCAAATTGGGGCCCTTAGTGCTTCTAAAGAAAAATCAAAAACAAATGCAATGGTGAGACCCAAACTGCCATCCAGAAGGAAGAATTCCGTAGATGAAGAAGGATTCAGTTTGGAGATGAAGAACAGATATGAAACAAATGAAATGTTTCTTCTGGATGACTAAGACATTTTTGTTTTAATTTTTTGAGAAGTTTCAACCAGGTCCCTTATAGTCCCTAGGTGATAGTTTAAACTCCTTAGCTAGGTATGGGCGGTATTCCAAAATCAGGCTTTAAACTCTTTGACCATATTTCCGTTTTTCAAAATTTAAATCACGGCCTATGACTGTACCATGAAATAAAGTTAGTAATCTTGCCCACCATTTTGTTGATAGAACAGAACAGAATAAAATCATAAATAAAATACCAGTGTATTGCATATAGTTATGTGTATTATTTCTTAAGCTTTTGTTTCAGCCCAATATGTATACTTGTACATAGATATATGAATATATATATTTATATATGAGTCGTATTTCTAAAAAATTTCCTGTGAGTTATGGTTTAAAAAAAAATAGTTTAAAGTCTATGGCTCTATTTCAGTCACTTCCTCTTCCTGCCCCATACTAATAGCTGACTCTCTAAACACATCTGTACATCTTCACATCTAGGCCTCTGCACGCACTGATCTTTGGTCTTCAGAGCTTTGAGCTAATTTCTCTGCTAATTCTCCAAGGTCAAACCAACTAATGAAGACTTGCTCTTCTGCTTGCTTACTTTTTTTTTTTTTTTTTTCCTAAATTTCCTAAACTCTCCTTCCCACCAGTCCAGTTACCTTTCTGTCATACTTACCAGATGACTGGGAACCACGGGGTTTCACTCTCTCAGATTGCAGAAGACAACCTCCTAACACCTGCAGCAGAGTTCTGACCACGAAGCTGCCGTGTGTATCTCCACAGTAGAAAAGAAAATCATCACACACCTCAGAGGCCAGACCCAGAACCAGCTTTTCCAGGGCCTCCAAAGTACCATTCTTTCCATCTTCCTCTTCTTCCTCCTCCACCTCCTCCTTCTTTCTCTCCTCTTCTGCAGGATTCACGAGCAATCGAGGCAACTGCAGCAAAGCACTTTGCAATACATGGACCCCGCACCGATGACACGCCACAAAACGAAAGTTGGAGCACAGAGCAGCCCATATTTGACATAGCGGCTTTAAAGGACTGAACCCCAAGAGTTCCTGCAGCATCTCACTGCCCGTCCTGTTTGTGGCTAAGGCTAGGGCCTGAGTTTCCACTTCCTTCAAAATGTTATGCACCATCAGTTCTGGGAGGCGGGGTGGGGAGGAAAGAAATACATTAAAGACTGAAAAAAGAATACGCTTATTTTCTATCACCTAACCAAGGGGTGGAGGGCAGGGGCCGAAAAAGAGGACTGAGGGATAAACTAATACCCCGCACTCTGGAGATCCTAGATAGTTTGTCTCTCTAGGGTTTTAAGCTCTGGATCCCACCTCTTAGTTTCTCCCTACCTCGTTCTTCCCCAGCATCGGGGGCCTCTTTCAGCGCTGTCAGCGCACGTCGGAAATACCCCAGAGCTTCGGGGCTCAGGTATGGATGCTCATCTACAGCCGACTTTGAGCGCCGGTCCTCAGGCGGCCGAGGTTGCTGTTCGCGGCCTCGTGAGGGTCGCCTAGACCCCTTGGGCCCGCGCCCCCTCTTGCCGCTAGCTGGAAACTGGCGTCGCGCCTTCTGGGGGGAGGGTGGGCTCAGCCCCATAAACGCTTCGTGACCTCTCAGTCTGTGAGAATGCAAACTGCAGGACTCTCACACTGCTAGGCGTGGACTCAGAGCTGACAAGAGTTTAGAAACGCCGGCGCGCTCCTGGCGCAGCGTATTGCGTCATAGCGGCGCGACGACCCAAGCGCGCTGCGGCGGGTGAGTCTTCCGGACCGTCAGCCAATCGCTTGCACATTTTAACCCCAGCCCAGAACTCACTCCGCCCATCGTACTTTGCCCAGAATCTTCTCTCACTCTACCTTGTGATCTTAAAGAGCCTTGTCTTCCAAGTGGGCTGCACCTTCCCGACCAACACGATGACTTTCTCCCCAGCCTGGCACTCTGACAGATAAGAGTCTGTCCCGCCTGTTGTCCAGAGTCAAAGTCCTCCCACTACTGTATAAAAAGACCTGGAGAACTAAACGTACCAGGGATTCCAGAGGCATTGCAGTCTGCAGCTGCAGGTAAGGTGCACCTGACCTGAAAGCCACGCCCTGGCTCTATCCCTGAGAAGCTCCCTCGCCAGAGTCCCCAAACTAGTTAGCTTCACTCACAAGGTCGCAGCAGGCGTGTCCCATCTAGCTTTCTTTCCCTGGGCCTCCCAAAAGGTACAGTCAGTCCTGCCTGGAGCCTGAACTCGGTTGTTCTCCAGGGAAACGTGGCTCCCCTCAAAGAATTCCAGCCTTGGCTGCCCTCCTTCACTAACTATATCCCTCCTCCAGCCACAATCTGCAGGCTTCCTTCAAAGCTACTCTTTGCTTCACAGATAACTCCCTTTACTTGAGTCATGGCACCTCTCATGAAGGGCCAAGTGTGTGTGGTAACTGGTGCCTCCAGAGGTATTGGTCGAGGCATTGCCTTGCAGCTCTGCCAAGCAGGTGCCACAGTTTACATAACTGGCCGCAATGAAGATACTCTTCAGGTCGCTGCTGAGGAGGTAAGTGACCACTTGAGTGACCTCTTCTAATTAACCAGTTTTTGGAGTCCAGTCCCTTAGCAGATATTTTAGTTTTCTTCAACAAAACATAACTATTTACCCAGAGTACAATAAATAAACAATAAGTAACTAATTTCACTACTAAGGGTGTTTTAAGGCAAAAAAAAAAAAAAAAAAACTTGCATCCAAGAGTTTCAAGGGTTTTGGAAATTTTAACTAAAGGCTTTTAGACCTCAGCTTTTCTGTATTTTAGGTAAGACATTACTGAACTCTGTACTTTCACTGGATTTCAGTAAAATAAATATTTGAGTACCTCTGGTTTACTAATAAAATTAGTAAAATATAATTTCTGCTCTTAAGAGTTCAGCAGGAAGTCAGATACAGAAACCAGTCATTTCAATGTAATATGATAAGGGGGAGATCCATACAGCAGCCTCCAGGTGTGGAGGTGCACAGAGATATAATAAAGGGAATAGTTAGGGAAAACATTCTGGAGGACTTGAAAGGTAAGAATTAGATAAAGAAGACCTGAGAATATTTCTCAATGCTAGAGCTCCTTCTGAGCATTCATGAGTTCAATCTGTAGTATGCGTGGTAGAGCGGGGAGAATGGCGAAAGTCTATGAAATTTTTATATGATGCAGGGGAGTAATGAGTGAAATGCTATCAAGCAAATGATGGCTCTTAAAAGTCGCTGGCTAAGAGCTGTAGTTGTAGTTCATGGTACAGTGCTTGCCTAACATGTTCACAGCAAGCACTCTACTAACTGAGGTACATTCCCAGCCCTTTTCCATAGTTTTTAAACCTGAGATCCCAGTCCACCTTACTCTGGTTGGGAGGACCCAACCACTTCTTGAAATTCCTCAAACAGACACCAGAGGGTGGTATTGCCTGCCATGTTGACTACTGATTTTGATTTCTCTGGTCACCTTCAGTTCCCAAGCCCATTTGACATTGCATTATATTTCACACTGGTATGCAACTACAAGCTCATGTCTTCTGTTTTTCCCCAGGCACAATCCCTTGGGGGCAAGTGTGTGCCTGTGGTGTGTGATTCAAGCCAAGAGAATGAAGTGCGAAGCCTATTTGAAAGAGTAGCTCGAGAACAGAATGGGCGTCTGGATGTGCTGGTCAATAATGCCTTTAGTGGGGTTCAGGTACCCTTTGACTTGATCCAACTCCGTATTTCTTACCTTCCTCTCTGGCCCCATTCATTGTCCCCTCCAATACCCAGCCCTTTACACCTTTCTGTCTTCAGATCATCCAGTCATTTCCCCTCCTTGTATCTTCTAGTCAATCCTGAAAGCCACCAGTAAGACATTCTGGGAACTCCCTGCCTCCATTTGGGATGATATCAACAACACCGGACTCAGGTGTGTGTTCCCTTTTTCCCATTGCAATAGCCTGGACTCCCTTTACTTAGCCAGCCTAAGGACCTGGATCTTTCCCCATGTGCATTCTCCTTTTCCCTCTGACCTCCCCAGTCTCGTTCTTCTCCCTTCTACCCTACTTATTTTTGAAGTAATTCCATCCAGCTGAGTCTCTGTACCTGAGAATGCCAACTTTATTTCTATCAGTCATTTTCATTGGAACAAAGCATTGGCCCTATTCCTGCCTCACTCTCTGCCCATCTAAATACAAGACCCAAAATGAGCCTCACAATCTCAGTAATGCACACAGCCTGTGATCTGCATTTTCAAAAACTCTTAGAGGGAAAATTTTTTAGATCAAGAGGATGCTGAGATAATAGTAGGTTACAGAGGCTCCCTGAGATAGTCAACTTAAACTTCAAAAATAATATAGTGTGAGGAGTCTTGAACAGAGGAGATGGATCCACCCGACCCAGGAACAAACTAAGCTGAGAGAAACCAATTAAACATGCAGTCCCGGTGCTACTATTGGAACAGCTAAAGGCTCAGTGCTCCTGCTGCAGCACTTGAACTCACACAGCCGAAACTTACCGAGGTACCCAAAGCCCGCCACTCCAACTCACGAGAGACACACTCACACTGAGGTTGAGGATCAGTGCGCCAAATAGAGAGCTGAGCTGGTGGTGAACCTGCATCAGCCTGTGGTGAGTGATGGTAATAAAACCAATCCACAGAAAAGGGGGCTCTAACAGATGACATTCTGAGGCCGGGAAGACTGGCGAGAACAAGGAGCAGCAGTGACTTCAGTTAGCTGCTCCCTTCTTAAGCAGGATTGGTGGGGTGTGCTTGGCCTAGGTCATGCGCTGGGCTGAGATCCAATAGGTTAGCCCAAACCAAGTCTCTACGCCTGGCAGCACATCTTAATGCAGTGAAGACTCCAGCAGGTTGACTGACCCAGATGGGAGGGCCCAGCATACACTGCCCCTCCTTGTACTCCATAGTACACTGCAGTGGGCAGGAGCACCTAGTCAGCACACTTCAGATGAACTATAACCAACAAAGAAAGAAACTGGGGCCTCCTATATACACCTGTATGAAAGGAACAAAAAATATGAGAAGAGGAGGCAACAAGAAAGGGTCCCCAACCCCTAACTCTGAGAACATTGATCCAGGAAAGGTAAATGCAAAGGAGATTGAGGACAGCAAACATGCAATATCAGACATGGCACCAGTGGACATAAAGCGATATCTTCAGGACCTCATAGATAAGTTCAAAAGTGAGATATTTAACCAAGTAAAGCAAGATATAAATAGAATAATAAAAGAAATACTAAGCACCTCTCAAGAAGACACAGATGGAAGAATGGAGAAACAAAAAAAAGGGGAGAACTGTTTGATGGAGAATATAGAGAAAACAGAATACATGAAGTAGGTTCAAAGAGATTACCAGGAAATTAAAAACTCCATTGAAAGCTGGCAAAACTGCTTGAAAGAAACTAAGGATAGATTATCCAAACTGGAGGACAGGTTTGCAATGTGAGATCATGAAAGGAAAAATCTCTTAAAAATAACAAGGAAACAAGAAGTAACAATACAAAGGCTAGAAGATGACAAGAGGATCTATAACTTAAGAATAAAGAATGTAAATGAAGAAGCAGGGGCACAAACAAAGGAACTACAAAGGCTATTCACAGAAATAATTAAGGAAAACTTCCCAAACATAGGAAAAGGAAATGATATTCAGATGTATGAGGCATACAGAACTCCAGCCACCTATAACCAAAACAGAACTATACCCAGTCATATAATAATCAAGATCCCAGAAATCCAATATAAGAACAGAATATTAAAAGCTGTCAGAGACAAGAAACAGATTACTTACAAGGGAAAGCCTATCAGAATTATGGCAGACTCTTCAGCACAAACCATCAAATCTAGAAGAGCATGGAGTGAAGTATTCCAAGCCCTGAAAGAAAATAACCTCCAGCCGAGATTGAGGTATCCTGAAAAATTGTCTCTAGAAATTAACGGAGAAACAAGATGTTTCCGAGATAAAGAGGAACTGGGGGAATTTGCAATCACCAATCCAACTCTACAGAGAATACTCCAGGACATTCTAAAGAGAGAGAAAAGTACCAGGATTTCAGGAACGGTGACAGAGGCCTCAATGAGTGGAGCAGAAAGCAAAAAGAAGACAGACAACTGAAAAAAGAGCACAACAGAAATGAGGCAGAGAAGGTTGGATATAATTTCTAATATAGATAGCCTAGGCACACTAAATTAAGGGAAAAAAGAATTGCAGGCAGAGTGGATCAAGAGGTAGGGTCCACAGAGATGCTTTTATAGGATCTATATTTATAAGAAATATAATTAACCTGAAGAAGGGTATATGGACCAAAAATCAAATACGAGAAAACTACTCTATGTGATTGGGAACCAGAGAGTAATAGGGGCAGCTGGACCAGTATTTATAGATAGGTTGGAAAGACAGGCTTTAATAGGTAAAGAAATACAACTAGAGATCAAGTCCAGGAGTAAGAAGGTTCGGAACCACTTAGGTAAATAGCAGGTTTGTTGGGGAGACCAAAAGTGCACAGTACACCTTGGGGGAGTGAAAGGGGAAGAATAGTCTTCAAAAAGACAGCAGAAGATATTGCTAATAGTGTATCAGGAATTAAAACCCATATTACTAGGACTAGGGATTTAGCTCAGTGGCATAACCACCTGCCTTGCATACAGTCGTGAGTTCGATCCCCAGTACCAAAAAAAAAAAAAAAAAAAAGAATAAAAAAACCTATATTACACCACTCTGCTTAGATAGAACTTATTCTGTCCCAGTTTGTATACAAGCACTAGATCTGAGAGCACAGACAGCTATCCCAAAAATACCAGGATATAACACAGTAATCATCTTTAATTTCCTATTGACTTAATCTGGATCCCTGTATAACTTATACTGCTATATCATGACTGATCTTAGTTTAACCTGATTTGTTTGATTGCTGTTTGTTATTGACAGGTTTTATTCAAAACTATTGGTTGATAGTATCAAGTTTGAGAATATAGCCAACTATACTGAAAATGACAGTGATTTACTACGATACCCATTCTGGTTTGATTACTACCTGTTTTTGTAGTTCTACACTATCTACAAAGTTGTGTTTCTATTAATGCTGTTATGTACTGATATATTCAGTAATACTATATCTGATGATATAGCCAATTCTATTGATGAAAACAAGAGACAACACAGTAACCATGATAGAACTCCTTGAACAGCAGTGTTATATGTCTTTTTAGTTTTACGTGTCTATAGGAATATGTTTTGTTCTGTCCTGCTTTGTTCTGTTTCTCCCTCTAATATAGAAAGGATAGAAATACATGTTAAGACTCATGCTTGCGTAAAACCTGTAAACAGTTTACGAGAACTGATCTTACGACACATGATGAAATGAACAAATACTTTGAAGGAAAAAAAGGCATAGCAGTACCCAGTGCTGACTCCGGGGTGTCATGATGTGAAACCCAGCAATCTATTATTCTTTGTTCAGAGTGATTAATGAAGATATGGATAAATGCGTGTATGTTTAAGAGTATAGGATTGATAACCATATTACTAAGTTTTTATTAGTTGAACAGAATTATTTGCAGTCTCACTGTTTGAATTCCCATTTATATGTTCCACTTTTGTATCTTGAGCGACTGTTTGTAAGAGGATAATATGTAAACATCAACAAGTGACTTATTACTGTTTTTTTTTTCTTTGAAAGTATGTATTATTTCTACATGTTTTCTGTTTTGTCTTTCTTTAAATAAAAATTTTTTTAAAAAGAAGATGCTAATAAGAAAGACTGGGCACCTGCCCTTCTCATCCTCCATAGGTTCACTGTAGACCCACAGATAAATGTACTTACCCCCATGTCAAGTTGGGACTGCAGGAGTATCACAGAGTCATAGGTACATTTGGCATGGGAGTGGAGTGAAGTACATCATTAGAACTCACTCAGCATAATATATGCAGCTATGTCCTGTGATCCTCTCAGATAACTAAACTACACTTGATAGAAGTGACCAGTCATTGGTAAAAGTAACTAAGAACGCCAATCTGTCAATCTTGCTTCATATTTTCTATCTTAGTACAGTGTTAAGGAAAGCCTTCCTAATGGGCATTATGAAACACATTTGGGAGGCTGCTATGGTTGATACATTGTGTCAACTTGAGCAGTTTACAAATTTAACTAAGAGATTCACAGGGGAGCCAGGATTCTTTGTTGTAAGTATCTGAGTATCTGTATCCTGTGGAAGAGAAGGGCACAGAGATTTTGTGAGTGCTACATCTCCTTTGGGGGTTTGGGGAGGTATCCTGCTTACAATATAAGTGAGGAAAAGAGCGGGCTACTGCCTTGAAGTATTGCCATGCCACCCTGCCTTGGGGCCAGCTGATAATGAACTGAAACTTCCACAAACTAAGCTAAATTTCCTTCTTTCATTTGGGGTGCAGGGTATATTGTCCCAGCAATGAGAGAAAAGTAACCAAGACAGAGGCTGAGGTAGGTGGATCACCGTGAGTTCAAGGCCAGCCTGGGCTAGAGTGAGTTCAACTACATATCAACTACATAGTGAGACCTTGTTATGTTTGTTTGTTTTAAAAAAAAAAAAAAAAAAGCCTTCCCTACCTTCAGTTTATAAATACATTCAACTTTTTTTTTTTTTTTTTTTTAGTCCATCTGTGCACTTTTCTTTCTTTGGTTGGTTGGTTTTTTGAGACAGAGTCTTACAGTATGCTATGAGCTGGCCTTAAACTAGCCGTGTAGCCCAGACTGGCCTCGAATTCGTGATCCTCCTTCCTCAGTCTCCCAAGTGCTGAAATGGTAGATGTATGCCACCATGCCTGGCTAGGTTTTCCTATTTTACATTTAAATATTGTGTCCTTTTGGAATTGGTTTTTGAAATAATAAATGAGGTAGAAGGTCAGTCCTCCCCATCCCAAAGAACTGGGCAGATGTCCCAAATCCATTTACTGAATAACTCATCTTCCTCCATTGATTTGAAGTGTTTCCTTTATATTATGCTGCATGGGTACTTACACTTGGGTGATTATTGGCTATTTTGTTTCACTGACTCACTTGTCTGCTGTTATACCAGTCCTAAGTCCTTTTAACTATTATGTCATTGTACGTTTTAGTACGAGTGATGATAGGGTAAAATCCCTCTTGGCCACAAGTCAGAATTGGCCTGGCTACCCTCACATGTTTATTCTTTTCATTGTTTGGTGTTTGTTTGTTTGTTTTACCGGGAATCAAACTCAAGACTTGCCAGGCAGGCACTGTGCCACTGAGCTGTATCCCCAGCTTTTCATTGTTCTTTAGAGTATTTTGTCAATTCCTTCAAAAATCCTTACTAAGATATAACTCAAATTGACTAGATATATGGATTGATTTATACAGAACCAATGTTTTGTGTACTATTCTTAGTAATTTAAGTTGTGCATGCTTTGCAATTTGAGTTTTTCCATGCAGACCCTAAACATTTCTTCTTTCTCCCCCAAACCATTTTGTGTGTCATCGGTATTGCTACAGAGCTCTTTTCTTTTTTTACATCTAAAGATTGTAGTTGCTCATTTTTTGGTGGTTAATTTTACCTGTTTTTTTCTTAGAATGTGTCCCCTGCTGCCTCTCTACAGCCTCCATGCCCACCCCCTCTCCCACACTGACTGCAGCCACTCCTGGGAGCAAGAAGCACCCATGGGCAGCAGCGCAGGCCAACTAACCATTTTCATGCTTTTAGAGGTCACTACCTGTGCTCAGTGTATGGGGCACGGCTGATGGTACCAGCTGGCCGGGGGCTTATCGTGGTCATCTCCTCCCCAGGGGGTCTGCAGTACCTATTCAACACCGCCTATGGTGTGGGCAAAGCTGCGGTAAGGACCCAGTCATGTAGGGGTTAGGAAGTATAGCATACTAGTGGTACTTATAGCTCGGGAGGTCCAGTCCCCAGTGGACAGGTTGGGAAGGCTGGCTGGCCCACATCTCTCCCTCGGCCCTGTCCATGGACAGTTCCTTTCTTGGGCTACCCTTGTTCTGCCAGAGTAGGTATCAAATGGAAAGGAGGGCAACAGAGACCCCAGAGATCCTGGGAAGGGCAGGCCCTGAGGCATCCCCACTGGCAGCAGGGAGGGTAGAGGACGAAGGTGATATGGCCAGGTATCCTGGCTCTCATTCTGCATTCTGTGCCTCCACAGTGCGACAGACTGGCTGCTGACTGTGCCCACGAGCTGCGGTGCCATGGAGTCAGCTATGTGTCTCTGTGGCCAGGAATGGTGCAGACAGAACTGCTGCAGGATTATATGGCAAAAGAGGAGCAAACTAAGGATCCCAGGTTCAGTCAGGTTAGCAAGGGGAGGGCAAGGAAAATAAGGAGAATGCAGAGGAATTAGCCTCTCCACCTTCAGTATCAAGAGTGACTATTCCCACTTCTCATGCGCTGACTAGAGCAGCATGCACAGGGCTAAGCACTGTGCACACATAATTTTAATTTTGTAAGGCAGATAATATCTCCATTTTATAGACAGTGAAACTGAATCCCAAATAGAATAAGAAACTCGTTCCAGGGCTGAAGACAGAGCCCAGTAGTAGAGCATTTAGCATGTGCAGGCCTTTGATTTAGTCCCCAGCACTGAAGAAAAGAAAGGAGGATAGACATGGATAGACAAACTCGTTCCAAATCGTACATGGTAAGGCTGTCTGCCGCTGGAGCCCGTGTACTCAACCCTGGCACTGAAATAGCCCTGAAGGTCCAGATGCTAGTTAGCACTATCAAATCTCCACATAGGAGAGGCAGCAGGTTCTGGGGTATAGTACAGGACTGAAATGTGGGGAGGAGTGGCTGTGGTATCTTCTGAGACACTGGGTCCTATAGGTCCCGCATGAGGTCTTTGGCCTCTCTTTCTCCTGGAACAGAATCAGTAGAGGGGAGAAGTTTAGGCAGTGCTCTTGGAATTAACCTTTTATTTCTCATCCTGTTTTTCAGTTCAAAAAACTTTTCTCAGCATCAGAAACCACAGAAATGAGTGGCAAATGTGTGGTGGCACTGGCAACAGGTGAAGATATTGGGACCACCTGGTAACAAGAAAGGGCATGGAGGATCCATAGGATAGTGGCACCCAGTATCCAGTTTTGGTTTGGGAGGTGGTTCAGAAATTCTCCCAAGTTCTCTCTGGCTTTTGGAAGCTCAGAGGGTCAAGATTCCCTGTGTGAAGTTTGCACATTTGGCTTCTGGGAATGAGGTGAAGAAAACAGTTTTCCAGGGTTCCTTGCCTGTCTCAGTCTCAGCCCACTGAGCCCAAACCTTGTCACTCTGCACCATTTCCACACTCACCCTCTCTAACTGTATGTGTGTTGCAGACCCCAACATCCTGAAGCTGAGCGGGAAGGTGCTGCCATCTTGTGACCTTGCTCGACGCTATGGCCTAAAAGATGTGGACGGTAAGAGCTCTGACCCAGCAGCCAGCCTTGACTGCTGTTCCTTCAATCCCCTGCCCATGCCTTCCCCTCGGTATCTTCAACCAAGGTTGGGATGAGGAGTGAAAAAGGATCTGATCTTCCTGTTTCTCCTCCTGTTGTCCCCAGGCCGCCCTGTCTATGACTACTTGTCTGTGCGCTCTGCCCTCCAGCATGTCTCCCACCTGAGCTGGTTGGCCTCCTGGTTGCCTGGCTTCCTTCGCGTGCCCAAGTGGCTTATCACACTCTATACCAGCAAGTTCTGACAACCTGGCCCAGTGTCAGTGCTGTTTCTCTGCCCACTTGGGCTTGGTCATTGGACCTATATCTGTGGAACAAAGCAGCCTTGTTCACCTACTAATGCCTTTGGTTTCTGCTGGGCCTGTGTGGTGAGTTCTGAGGTCCTTCAGAGAACCCTCTGTGTGCCTGAGTTTTCTTTGTCCTTACTCTCCACTTTTTGTTTCAGTATCCAAAAATGCACTGGAGGCTAATAAAGGTTCTTCTTTCCCCTTCAATGTGTTTGCGAGTGCTGACTCTGCTTGGAAACATACAGTAAATACTTGTGGAAAAGACACAAAGATTCATGCGTAGGTTCTCAAAGGCTGTGTTCATAGGACAAGGCCCCTTTCCTTAACCCTGTTCCTGCTCTTCCCTACAACTCTATTTCTTGTGCCCTCACAGGAAGCACAGTCCTTCCATGACTAGGAATACCCAGGCTCGCTATGATTTCACACATCACTCCACCATCTCTTCAGGAATGCCTGCTGCTCTAGCTGGGCCCAAGGGTAGATTCCTTGCTATGTATGATTTCCTGGAACTGAGGTAGAAGGTACTATGTGAATCCAAATGAAAGAGAACTGGCTGATGGCACTGACATACTCCCGTGCTTCCTCATGCCGTGGTGTCACCTCAATTGCTTTCCTCCCAGCTAATTGCATGATCCTTCTGGGCTACCTTGCCTGCTCAGCAACTGGCTACACTGCCACCCAGTGCACAGTGGCTTCGGGAGGCCAAGGGAAGTTCTCCAAGAGCCACAGGTGTCAGTCACGAAAGCACACTAAAGCAGGCATCAGGCTCAGAAATGGGAAAAAGAGTGTGAGGATCTGGGCAGACACTGGCACAGTCAGCTATAGAAACTTAAACAGAGGGCTGGCGTGATTTAGAGATTTATATTGAAGCAAGCTCGCTGGACTCAGGTGTGGGCCGTTGGAGACCACCCAGTACCAGTATTGCCAGGGACCTGATGGCAGTAGTGGTGAGAGCTCAGGAGATACTGTGGGAGGTAACATGTACAGACTGGGAGCTGGGCTGGTGCAGAACTGCTGGGTTATCTTGGCGTGGGGACCATGAGACCAGCAGCAGGCATGGAAAGAATGTGAATAGTAAAGGAGAAGCCAACTTGCCCTGAATTAGTACTAATAAGACACTGGGCCTGGCTGAGATGCAACCCACCCTCACTGGAACAAACCAAAATGCTTGTTTGGTCCCTGGAAGGTGACTAATCCTCCAGAAGGAAGTGATGGAGATGAACTTCTTGACATTTTTTTTAAGGGAATAAAACAAAGCAAAATAGAACAAAACAGATCAGAGCAAAACAATGCAAATAACACAGGATTGGATTACATTTTTAATCTGCTTTTCGGAAGTAGCACATTTACATGGTCCAAAATCTAACAGGCTTGGAGGGTTACAGTGAAAATTCTCCCATCCCTGCCCGTTAGTGCCCAGTTCCCAACCCAAAGGCAGTCAGCACTACCACACAGAGCCCACACCAGTACAGCAAATATTGAAAGAACAGAGCTGACTGTGAAAGCTGGCCTTTGTCCACCTGCAGCATTATTTTCCAGTTTCTAAGGCCTGTTCTAGCTTTGTGTTCCACCTCTAGGCAAGGCAGTGGTCCTGGGCCCAGAGACCTGGCCTCGCACAGGTCCTTATGCAGCTGTTCCTAGCAGGAGGGTAAAAGTCTGTGATGGCTTGAGGGGAGAATAAGAGCCTTGAAAGGCTGCTGTGAAGGCCTAAAAGAAAACAGCCCAAGGGCCCAGCCCAGGCCCAGTTTCCACAGCAGCAGACCTCACACCAGGACTGTGAGATGCACATATTGAAGAGGTTGTTCTAGAACAATCACCTAAGGGTCAGGAGAGGCAAATCGAGGCAGACGTAGAGCCTCTGCCCCAGTAAAGAGCTACATTTTCTCTTTCCCCATTCCTACTTCTTCCCACCCGCAGCCTCCAAAGACTAACAGTGTCTAAAGTGTCACGCATGAAGCTGGTCCCTTTGTTGTTTGGCCATTCCTTTATAGTGCCCCGCAGTGACCTCAGAAGTCACTGTGCTGTAGCCCCTCTCCATCACCTGAGTCCCTGATCCTCACCCATCCCATCCACAAAGCTGCTCCTCCCGTCTGCCTCCTTCTGCCTCCATCCTCTCAGCCCTCCCATCTCCCCCTGCTCACTGTGATCCACAGTCTCCTCATCGGCCCTCCTCCACTGGCCCCTCTACTGGAATCTTGTCTCCAACCTCCCATCTTACAGTGCCCAGCCCTGGGCTGGGAGGGTCAGACGTGTACAGGCAAGCCTGTGAGACCTAGGTCCAACTTTCAAGAATGTTCTCAGAGCACCACAGTAAGACCCAGGGTAGGGTCACCACAGCCAAGCTTCTCTCCAAGGAACCTTGTTCCTTTCACATCTCACCTTCCTACAGGGTATCAACTTTCTGACCAGTGCCCTTCTCCATCTAATCCCACCTCCCACCTGTAGGGAGCCAAGAGGCCTGGTCCATCTCAGTCCATCCTGATTCCCTGCCTGAAACCCTTCATAGCCAGATGCCCAACACACACACACACACACACACACAACACACACACACACACACACACACACACACACACACAAACTGTGGGTGCCTTCTCACAGCAGTCATACCCAGGGCTTCATACTGAACTGCAGAGGAGGCAGGATTCGCCCCAGGAGTGATCAGTGGCTAAGGAGCATCACAGGCTGGATCTTCTTGCCAGGTGGTATCAAACACAGCAGATCAGTTTTAAAGCAGTGAAAACATGTTCATTAACAATAAGGGAAGAGAGCCCTATTCCTGTGGGTACAGAGGTGACTTGGACGTTTTAAAGAGAGAATGGTGGTCCTCAGGGGAGTCAGAGTGTCTGTTAGCGCCTATCAAGTGAGGAGGTGTTGATGCACTCCTGCTTGTTAGGGAGAGATTCCAAAAGAAACCAGCAAAGCCTTAGTGTCCTGAGCATCCCCAGAGGGGCCTGTGCAAGGAGAGGCACAGTTGAGCAGCCAAACATTCTCAAGATTGTAGGTACTGAGAGAATTTATGTTTATTGAGCACCAGCAATGACCAAAACCCTCTACCTAGATCTTAATTCCATCTTTTCATCTGCCTATGAAATAAGTACCTTCTTACAACTGAGGAAACTGAGGCTCAGAAAAGTTGAGTCGCTGGCCCATGGTTGGGGAGTGAGGCAGGAAGTTTGCACGTTTGAGCCCAATGTGGCAAACCTAGCAAGATTCTGTCTCCAAAAGCGTGGGGCAGCTGTGAATGTAATACAGTGTTAGTTTCCCTGTTGACTCCCCAGTAACACAACAAAATAAAGTTGGTAACTTGACCAGGATTCAGGTCTTTCAACTACTGTAAAAGAGCCTGGATTCAATCAAATGTATATAACTCCAAGTGTAAGCTCTTTCTCTGCTTCAAGCTGCCTCTGCTGCTGTGTGCTTGTTTGGTTTTGGCTTTGGATGGCCTTTTTGTTTTCAGCAAAGGGAGTGTTGGGGATGGGCAGAGTGGTGAAAACATTCCAGAGTTTACTCACCACAAGGACTTCCTGGGCAAATTCAGTCTTGCCTTTCTCTGCATTCAAACACACTTCTCCACACCTTTGGTAGCTCTGTTCTATTCTCTCCAATACCACTCATTCCTCTTCCTCATCTCTGACCCCCTTCCAAGGCATCCACGGTCCCAATCTCAACCTTCTAGAAGCTTCTCCTGATTCCTTCTGCCCTTGTTCTTTCTCCCTGCTGAGGAGCCTCTTCTTTTGACATTCACTTAGGGCTCAGACTAGCACTAGAACCCTTAATGTCATTATCCATTTGCTAGTAAAATGAGAATCCCCACCCTGGGCCAGCTCTGGGTTTTGGGTCCTTGTCCACCTCCTCCCCCTGCCCTGTTGCTGCCTCCCACACACGCAGAGCCTTGACCCCTGCAGCACAGAACAGATAGTGCTGAGTCACCCAAGGAACCCACTAGTGAGGACTTTCACCTTCCCTCCCTGGAGGCAGGCGGGTTGGATAGCCTGTGGCTGTCTCTGTGTCACAGGACTGACCCTATGAGAACTCACTGCTTCCTTAGTGTCCATCAGCATTTGGTATGAGTCCCGCACACCATTCTCAGCCTTAAGCCACTTTCCCAGTGACCTGGCATTTATAGAGGACTTTCCAGCAGGGCCGTCAACTGTGGGAGCCATGGGAGCCTCTTAGGGTGATGCCAGGCCCTTCCTATCCTCCCCCACCACACACACACACACCCAGTGTTGTACGCAGGAGCCAAGCTCAAGCCTGAGTCATGACTGGGTACACAGGGGACACGGGCACAGCTTGGCTTCTGTCAGCAATTCCAGACATTCTCCTGTTTACACTGAATTCCAAGCTTGCACACCACTCCCTGTCCACTCCCTTCCTCTGCCACCAGGCCAGACTGTGAGGACTAGAATGTGTCCACCCCTGACTGACTCACCTGACTTATGTTCCCTGCCCTACCTGAGTTCCCCAAATCCTCTTAACCCTTCTCCCTCTCAGCAGGGTACACCCTATCTGCTCTGATACCCACGGCTCATCATTCATTCACTCGTTCCCTGGGCTCCCTCCAGCACCAGCTGTTTGAATGCACAGTTTAATTTTCCTCGGGCATCTAGGATTCCCTGAAATCAACCATGATATTTACTTCTATAGCATCTTTCTCCCCAGACAGACTCTCAGCTCCATGTGAGGAAGGCCCTTGTCTGTCTTCACTATCACTTCGGGATCCTGAGCTGTGCTGAGGCCCAGTGGATACCAGTTGATGAGTGACATAAATGCTTACTGAGCAAACATGGTGTGGGCGCCTTGCTACATGAAGGGAAATGCAGCCAAATTAGTCCCCTTGGCTAGGTCATGGCAAGAGCAGAAGTGGGGAGCTGCATCCCATGCGACAATGAGCTACAGTGCAAGTCTGCAGGACCCAGTGCTGAGAGGTACAGAGGAGGCACAAGCCCAGCTGCGCCTCCTGGCCCACTCTGGGCTGCCTTGCTCCAGGAACACTGCCCCACCCTCAGATAGGGCAGCTCCCATTTACATGCACAACCCTTCTCTCTGATGACCTTTATCCATTTCCTAATAAACGTGATTTTTTCTTATGTGATTATTTCTGTCATCCAGACATACTAGACAGCCCTACTCTAGGCTGTATACTCCAGGAGGGCAGGAGCCATGACTGTCTCATTCACTGCTGTAGCCCCTGTGCCTAGAAT